AATAAATATATTCATGTTACTGAAAGCCAAGGGTTCTCGCTGTGGAGAAAGGGATATTTGGATGAACTATGTAGAGCTGCCATTTGTTGTTGATGGAAAAGGGTTGAATATCGACAGGTTCATGCAATTCAGACAAATACAAGTAGGGAATGAGAGAAGAGGAGGAAGAAGGCCGGGGGTGGTGTGGTCGGAGAGGAATTCGGTGCGTTCAGGATGTGGCTCTGTGCCCTGAGGGGTCCCAGGAAGCGGAGGCACCCCGGCAGCCTCGGGCACGCTCGGCTCCAGACCTTGGCTTCTAAATCCCACACCCCTCTCAGGGACTGAGGGCTGTCCCGAGAAACACCGAAGGCAGGGCAGAGGCGCGGAATGTCCTGGGCAGGCCGAGGAGGCCTCGTGGTGGCAGCAGTGAAAAGTGCTCAGCACCCCACAGGGACTCGTCAGAAGTGTGGACCAAACCCAGCAAGCGCAGGGGAGGAGGCCTCGCCAACTCAGACGCTGAACAGGACCACACAGGACGTTCAGAACATAAACATTCCTAACTAACACGGGATCCTCCGCCTGGGGCTTCCTTGACACCGTCTGTCTCTGCCTGCAGTGAGCCAGGCTACGGTCTTCGTGCGTCGAAGGTAACGCAGCTCGGCCACGTCCGCCTCCAGAGCCCTCGGGGCGCGGCCAGAGCAGGGGCGCCCGCTACCCGCACGTCACCCTGCCGCCCCCAACCCAGCTCCGCGCACTGCGCTGCCAGCGGCGTCAGCCACCCTGTACTCCTTGGCCGCCTCCCTGATTCTCACTCGTAAAATAAGCTGTAGCAAGCTCTGGCTGGGTAGCTCAGTTGGTTAGAGCGTCATCCCACTATGCCAAGGTTGTGGGTTTGACCTCTGGTCAGACCACGTACACGAAGCACCTGGCCGGCGTGGCTCAGTGGGTTGAGCGTCAGCCTGCAAACCAAAGGGTTGCCGGTTCGGTTCCCAGTGAGGGCACACGCCTGGGTTGTGGGCCAGGTCCCCAGTAGGGGGCGGTGTGCAAGAGGCAGCCACACATGAATGTTTCCCTCTCTTTCTCCTTCCCTTCCCCTCTCTCTAAAAATAAACAAACATTAAAAAAAGAACATATACAAGAAGCAAGCAACGAAAACATCGATAAGTGGAACAACAGATTGATGCTTTTGTCTCTCTCTCAAAGTAAAAATAAAACAAAATAAGCTGTAAAACTGCCACTTTTCAGAGCATTTTCTCAATCTGTTCACATTTTGCTTCCTGTCCATTGGCGTCCGTATGGCTCAAATAAACTCATCAAAGTTCTCTTTGAACGCCTCTTACGCTGACGAAAGGGAGCAGGGAAGGAGAGACTGAGGCAGGGGGGCTGGCGCAGAGTGTGGCGCCTGCGTGGAGGTGCCCCGGGTTTGCTGCAGTTGGGTGGCTGCAGGAGAGCAGGCCTTGCTCCTAGGAAACCCAGGCTGAAGTGTTTACCGGCCAAGGCACGCACATCTCTAACGTGCGCTCCAGCGGTTCAGAAAAATGTCGCACACATGCGGAGAGAGGGATGACAAAGCAAACGGGGCAACATGTAAACAGCAGTGAGTCTGCCTAAAGGATACACAGGAGTTGCTGGGACTGTTCTTGGAATTTTCTTCTAAATTTAAAGTAATATAAAAATAAAACCCACCCCCACCATTAAAGAAGTACAGGAACCCGCTCAAGGGGAGCTGAATTTGGGTCGATGTGAGCATCAAAAAGAATAATTGAATGAAAAAGGAATCCATGAATTCATATTAATATTTAATAATTTTTTAAGGACCATCCATGGATAAATCTGTTGAGTAAATGGTTGCTGGAAAGACATTGTACTTATGGCTTCTTCGCTGACAGGGGACCTTGACCCTGGCGGACTCTGGCAGACCCAGTATTGAGACTTCGCATGCCCGCCAGCAGGACACTCTGATGCTGCGGGTCCTCTGATGGCCTGTCACCCCCTGATGCGCTGCCTGCCCTCCCAAACGCGCAACCTCAGGGCAGGGTCGGGCAGATTCCGCCTGTGGAACCTGTGGGAGGTTTCAAAGGCAGCAGGTCTGGACTCTCCAAAAACACCAGTGTGGCAGAAAATTAAGACAAGTCTGAGACGGACGGATGGAGGCCAATTCAAGGAGTGTAAACTGGAGACCACCAAACCAGTGTGACCACCGGGTCTAAAGGCTGTTGGGGACGAGGGGAATCTAATGAGGGCTGTGTGTTAGACGGCATTCTTGTATTCACGACTGTTTGTTTTGGGGGGCAGGCTCCGACTTCTGTAGGAGAAGGTCCTTCTTGCAGGAGGCGCTGACCTGCTTGGAGGGAAGCGCCTGGCCCTGGCCCTTGGATCCTCCGATGGCAATACCCAGGCAAACAGAGGCGGAAAGAGGAACAAGTGCAGCGGCACGTTGACAGCATGTTTCTGTGAAGGTGCAGGGAGGGGTCGAAAAGTTGGAGTTTACCGTATTAAATTTTAGCTTGTTTGTAGGTGTTATTGCCTAATGGAAATTTTTATCGCAATGACTGTGGAGTCACAGAGCCACCTGCAGAGCGGCACCTCGTGTGCTTTGACCTCTTTCCACCCAACAGGAACATGTGGCAAAACAGTAGCACAATCACACCACCAGGCTGGCCATGCAGAGACGGTGCACCACCTTCTCCAGTTCCCGGTTCGCTCGGGCTCAGCCGTGGGCTCAGCCGTGGGCTCAGCCTGGTGGGCGGGGGTGTCGGACCCTGAGCGGCTCCGTCTCCACCCGGCAGGTCCCTGGTGGTGTCCTCCTGGAGCTACACGCTCGCTTCACGCCCTCCCCGGCCCCGCCGCCACGAACGTCGGGCAACCCATTTGTCCCATTTCTAAAACCCTGTCCTTTCCGTCAAGCTGGATAAGCGGGTCCGTGCAGTGCAACACAGTCTTGGGCGGCGGGGGCACTGCCTGGCTGGCGCGCTTCCCAGGAGCTGCCTCCCCGCACGGCTCCTCGTGCCGGCGAGCGCCGACCCGGCCTGGGTCGACCACGGGGCCTTTGCTCGCGCACCTGCCGGAGCACACCTGCACTCGTTTCAGTTTGGGGCTATTACAGATGGAGCTGCTAGGAACTTTAATGTAGAGATTGTCTTTTCTTCTTCTTCTTTTTAAAATACTAGATTTGGAAAGAAAAGCAGGAGCTGCAGAAAGAGGCTGTGCTGTACGGGCACCCAGGAAGGACCCCTGCACCTTTGCAGCCTTGCGAACCTGCGGGAGATGACCTGCGGCCCCACGGTCCCCTCTGTGGCCCCTGTCGTGACCGTGTCCTGGAACCTGGCCACCTCAAGCCTGGAATGGAGCCCTGAGCAAGTGCGCCGAGTTGCAGGGAAGGCTGGGGAGGGCAGGTCCAGAGAGGCAGCCTTCCACCAGGAGCGAACACGGGGCTCGACGTGCAGGCTCTGACGGAAGGGAGGCTTGCCACGCGGCAGGTGAGCGCCCTTCCTGCAGGGGTGGGGTGGGGGGTGCTGCTGTGTCCCGCCTCCTGAATGTTCGGCTCTGGCCTGAAATAAACCCCTGTCCAAGGCGGACCCCAAGGAAGCTTCTGGACGTTCCCTGCCTCTGGAAGGTTGTCAAGATGCCGGTCCAGCACCCCCAGGTCCCCTCGCAGCACCGAGAGGTCGTCCCTGGGGTCTGCTAGTTTTCACGGTGCTTGGTCCGTCCTGCCTGGTCCTCATCAGCTCTGGCCCTGAGGGCCGCTGACGGGAGGTGGACCTGCCCTGCCTCTCCCACCTCCTGCTGCCGGGTGCCCTGCTGCCGCCGCTACGCCACCCGGCAAGAGCCAGCAGCGGGAGGTGGCTGTGCCCTTGGGGAAGCGAGTGTTGTTTGTCTCCTCGTGCAGGGTCCCTCCTCCTCCGGCAGATGTTTGCCGAGCAGCCGCCCTGTGCCAGGCTCTACTCTGCGTGTCAGTGCGGTGGAGGGCCAGGCGGACCGGCCAGCCAGGGTGGAGACAGTAAACAAGTGAGCAGGCACGGAAGGCCTGTTCCAGTGCAGATGAGGCCCCGAGGAAACCCCTGCAGGCCTACGTGCTGAAGAGGCCGGACCAGGGGCCACTTGGGGAGCAGGGGGCGGGGCTGCCACAGTGCCGCATGTGGCATCCTGATGGGTCGAAGCATGGGGTCGTAAAGCTTGGCCAGGCGCTGCTCAGAAATGCCCCAGGCGTGTCTGCTCTGAGGCCACGTGCGCCCAGATAGATGCAGACCCAACCCCTGTGAGCGGGTAGGAGTGGACAGGACCAGGCAATGGCAAAGAGGGACAGGCAGGTCAGCCGGCGCCGTCCATGAGCCCTACGGCGCAGTACAGGCCTGGCCAGTAAGGGGCTTGACCAGATGTCTCCAGAGTGTCCGCACAAGCGTCTCTGATATGCGCGAGGGCGTCTGTGTTTGTCAGCATGCGGGTGCGCAGGAGGCGGATGTGCCACCTGCAGCAAGGAGGATGGGATCCCAGTCACCCCTCCTCCCAACTGCCCACTTCTGCCCGAGGGTTTAGCTGCTGCTGGAGTGAGTCCCTAACGGACAGTATAGGACGCTCATCGCAGACTTTTGCTGAATCTGCTCTCCCCATCTAGGGTCGTCTTCTTCACACCACCCCTGGGACAGAGGGGACCAGAGGGGACAGGGAGCATGGGGGAAAGAACGGGGACGGGGTGGGGGGCGGTGACGGGCGCTGCACCGGCGGGACCACGATCACAGGGCGAGTGGGACCCAGGACAAGCCGGTGCGCAGTGGCTCAGAAGGGATAGGGAGTCCAGGCCTCGGGCGCTGGCGTCCCCGACAGCCTTCCTTTTCCTGCCGTCGGGGCCACGCGGCGCTGCGAGCGCAGCCCGCCTGGACGGTTGGGTGAGCATGCGCTGCTGTCACCGTCGCAGCTAGGACAGGGGGCGGGGCCGGGGCACCCGGTGGGGCTGGAGCGGGGGCCGGCCCCGGGCGTGTCCGGAAGCGCAGGCCGGCCCCGCCCCAGGCCCCGCCCCGCGGCCGCGTGGCTGTGCGTCCCGGCTGTTGCCGATAAAGTTGTTCGAAGCTGAGCCGGCGGCGGCGGTGGGTCACGTGAGCGGAACATGGCGGCCCCGGCAGGCGGCGGGGGCTCCGCAGTGTCCGTTCTGGCCCCAAACGGGCGGCGCCACACGGTGAAGGTGACGCCGAGCACCGTGCTTCTGCAGGTGCGGCCGCGGGCGGCGGGCGGGGGGCGGCGGGCGGCGGGCAGGGGGTGGGGGCGGAAGCGCTGCGCCGGGCCGGGTCCTGCGGTTGGCTCCGGGGGGCGGCGGGGCGGGGCGTGGGCGGGGCCCGAGTCGGCCAATGAGCGGCCTCCTGGCGGTAGGCCCGCCCACTTCCGCGCCCGGGTCCGGACTCCCGGGTTTCTGCGTGGTTGGGGCTGGGGTCGCGCTGGCGCGGGTCGGCACGCCCGCAGCCCCCGCCGAATCCGCGGCGCGGCCGAGCCAGCCTCCGCGGTCCCCGGCCCGTGTCCCCATCCCGGCGCGTCCCCAGCTGGTGTCCGCGTGGCTGGGTGTGGCGGCCTTTGTGCCTCAAAACTGACTTGCTGAGTCAGTCTCTGCACTTGAATCGGGCAGCTGGTTGACCCCGAATCCATCGCAGTAGAAATGTTTCCTGGGCCCTGTTGTGTAGGGAACAGTGTGCACACCAAGGTCTGCCCCGGGGTGGGACCCGCTTGAGCTGGCAGTGTGGAGCTGGCTCTTGGGGAAGAGGGTAAAGCGCTGCAGGCAGGGGCGCCCAGGTTGGGACTTTGTTCTCTACGAGTGGGGGAGGGGTCTGGAGTGTGTGTAGGAAGATGTCTGTGGCCATGGGCTGTTGGAGACTGGCCCGGAGGCTGTCCAGCAGGGCTGGGGTGATGGGTCAGGCCCAGTGAGGAGAGGACAGTGAACAGGCATTCCCGGATGAGGCACGTGGAGCTGTGGAGTGGACGGTCCCTCTTGTGGCTTTACTGAGCTTTGTCCAGCAGAGCCAAGTGGCCCTCCCAGAGACCTTCTGCGGCCTCAGCGCCACTGTGCCTGCCGGCCCTGCCACCAGGCGGGCACAGCGGCTCACGTCCTCTCATCTCGCCCCCAGGTTCTGGAGGACACGTGCCGGCGGCAGGACTTCAACCCCAGAGAGTACGATCTGAAGTGAGTTTGCTCTTCCCAGGCTGTGGTCCTGGCCCATCCACACCCCTCCCCCAGGGTCCTGCCAAGAGGCTTAAACCCACCGAAGTTTCTCTTCTCTCAGTTCTGGACGCCAGGAGCCCCAGCCAAGGTGTTGCAGGGCTGGCTCTCCCGAGGTTTAGGGGAGGAGCCTTCCTGCTTGATCCGCGTCCTGGTGGCTTCAGACGTCCCTTGGTTTGTAGCCACAGCACCTCCACCTCTGCCTCCTCCTGACATGGCCTTCTCCTTGTCCGTCATGTCTGTCCTCTCTCTCACAAGCACCTGCCCTGACCCAGGGTGACATTGTCTCAAGACCCGTCACTCGGTGACATCTGCAAAGTCCCTGGTTCCAGATAAGGTCACTCTCCTGCATTCTGGGGGCTAGGATGTGGGCGGATCTTTTTAGGGGCCATCGTTCAACCCATTGCATAGCACTGGGCTTCTGTGCCTTTGGCTGTGCAGGTTCCTGGGGGGCCTCTGAGGGCAAGAGGAAGTGGTCGTGCAGAAGCAGGAGAAGGCCGCCCGGCGGGCGACGCGGCCGCATCCCGGCCCCCTGCGCTGCCCGTACAGGCTCTGCCTGTGGGCACTGTCCGGAGACGGCACTACCCGGCCCCCGAGGGCCTGCAGCAGGGAAGGATTGAGACCCCGCCTGGTGGCTGTGGGCTCATGTCCCACAGCAGGTGCTTTCCCCTCAGTGACCTGTCTTCGCAGTGTGGCTGCCCTCACTTTGGGTCAGAGAGGAGCCCAGGACAGGGCGTCTGCTTTCCTGGGTCTCTCCTCGCTGTGCCACGCGTGGGGCTTCGCGCGGAGGAGATTCCGAGGGGCTGACGCCCCTGCTCCCTGCCTCCTATCTGACCCCCAAGGATCCCAGAGTCCCTGCTCTGGGCCGGGTCGTCCCCCCGCTTCCTGTCACAGAGCCGCATGCTGTCTCCTCCCTTCCGCTGCCTGAGTCCTCGGCTGGTCCCCGGTGGGAGCTGTCAGGACTGCGGTCTCTCGCAGCCTCGGCGGCCTTCCTCCGGTCTCCCTGCTGCTTGTGTACGGCTGACCCTCGACGAGCGGGGCTTTGAGCTGCACGGGTCCACTCACGCGGGTGTTTTTCGATAAGTACCTGTCCTGTTTCTCTTCGCGGCTGGGAGCTCGTGGATGCGGAGGGCCAGCTGCGCTGATTTGCACCACTTTGTGGAAGGGACTTGAGCACCTGCAGGTTTTGGTCTCTGTGGGGTCCTGGAGCTACTCCCTGTCAGATACCGAGGGGTGGCCATAGTTAAGTTTTTGGAGAGCCAAATTTGCACATGTGGTTTTTGACTGAGCGGCACCCTGACCCCTTTTGTGTTCAAGGGTCAGGTGTAGTTGGTTTAGAGGCGCAGCCGCTGCCAGGGAGGGCGGCCGGGTGTGCTTGCAGGCCTTTGGCCCCTTCCCCGCTCCCGCGGGCGCCTGGCCCCCAGGCTCCCCGGCTCCCCGGCTGGGTGTCTCTCTCGGTCTGTCCTGTCTCACGCTGAGCGTTGAAGTTGTGCGTGTGTCTGGCCGGGTGTCAAAGCTGCCTCTTCCTCACCCTTCCGTGTGCCAGCACCTTGTAAGTGGTCATGTTCAGAAAAGCGTGTTGTCTCCAGCGGCGTGCCGGCCTGCGTGCCACGGCGGCCGCTCTGCTCCTCGCTCACATGGTTTCGCCGGCGCCGCGTTTCCCCCCTAAGCTTCCACTAAACGTGGGGCTCAGGTCTGGCGCTTGAGTGCTGCAGGTTCCCGCTTTCGCTCTCATTGGAATTCGCTGTCTGTCCCTTACAGTCGAGGCCACGTGGGGCTGGTGGTTTGACAGGCGCCGCGGGCAGAGCTTTCCTCAGCCCTGGTGATCTGTAGGGTGGGTGGCGGTGGTTTTTGTGGGGTCCTGGGAGCTGGGGGGGGTTGGGAGCGGAGGGGCCAGGGTCAGGGAGGCTCTGTGGTCGCCGGGCTGGACCCCCCGCCTGCCCACAGATGAGGCAGCGTCCGCCCGCCCCCGTCTCTCACTTCTCCTCTAGGGAGCAGGTGTGCAGCTCCTCGTTGGCCCATGGCCGACACGTGACCCGAGCCTTTGCGGCCCCAGCTCCGGTTTGGGGGGCCTAGGCAGCCCGTCGGTTCTCCTCACCTGAGTTTCTTGGGCAGCAGGCTGCCGATGGCGACCGCAGGGGGCCCCGGGGCCCGGGCTTCGCTCCCGCCCCCAGGTGTTTCCCGTCCTGACTCATCTGGTGCCTTCGTCCCGCCAGTTCCCTCTGAGAAAAGGTCCTGCCTCGGGCGCAGGAGTTGTGTGCACGGGGGCTGGCGGAGGCTCCAGGCCACCCCGTTGTCCCAGGGCCCACGCTGGCCTCATTCTGATCGCTTGGGAGACTGGAAGTTGCTGGGTTCCCGTGAGGTGACTCATAACTGCAGGACACGGGCAGAGAGACCGAGGATCGCTCTGGGGTGGAGGGCCTGGCCCTGTGAGCTGGGGGTCGCAGTCTCAGCCCACACTCGCGGACCCCCGCCGTGTGACGGCCTGGCTCTCGGGGGTTCAGACTGGCCATTCTGTCTGCGGTGCTCTGGAGCCTTTGCCTCCTGTGCTGGGGGTTGTGGCCTGGCCTCCGTGGTGGCAAGGAGCAGGAGTGATGAGAGCTGGCGCCTGTGGGAGCGGGCGTGCGGTGTTGGGCCGCCCCCGGCACAGCCCTGGTTGGCAGCTTCCTCCTCTCCGGCGCTGCCCTCTGCACTCAGAGCCGGCCCGCTCGCTGGCTCTTTCTTTCGGAAGGTGCGCTGTAGCCGGGAACCCACGCTTGCGTGTGCCCGTTCCGGCAGCCGCGCGGGGGCTGGCCGGAGATGCCGCAGACGGCCGTGACCGCTGCTCCGGGACCCGGGGGCAGCTGTGGGCTGTGCTCTCGTTGCAGGTTTCAGAGGAGCGTGCTCGACCTCTCTCTGCAGTGGAGGTTCGCCAACCTGCCCAATAATGCCAAGCTGGAGATGGTGCCCGCATCCCGCAGCCGCGAGGGGCCCGAGAACACGGTAGGTGCCCAGGGCGGGTGGCGTTGCTGCTCCTGGCCCCTCATGCAGACTGTGGACTTCGGGGTGCCACGCAGGCCGGGCGGCTGGGGGCTGGGCAGGGCGCGTCCAGCACCCATGCCGCCCTCACTGGGTCAGGCAGAGCCACCCCCTACTTGGGTGATGGGGAGGAAACTTTGTTCTCGGAGCCGAGGTTGCCGTTGGGGTTGAGCGTGTGGCTGCGGCCTCGGCATGTGAGCAGTGGTGCCCAGACCCACAGTTCCGGTCACAGAGCTGTGACGGGTGTCGGAGCCTGCGAGGCTCCGTCTGGGAGCAGCCCCAGGCCGCTCCGCCCTGCCCTGCGGGGCCCCAGCTGTCCCCTGCGTCAGCAGCGTGAGGCCCCAGAGACTCGGGCACCCGGCCGTGGGAGCTGCCCTCCTCGTGCCCGCCGGCCTCGCTCAGCGACTGGGGCCCTGCCCACTCCCTGGGGGAGACGGCGCTCGACCTGGGAGGGACAGGGGGCTCAGGCCTCACTCAGCTCTGGAGCCCATGAGCCGTCAGGCCTGTGTCCCTGAGCCTGGTACTTCTTCTTCTGTTACTACGTGGTTCTCCGACGTGCTCGTGGGAGGAGCCCTGTCTTCCGGGGGAGGGGCTGGGAGATGCCTCGCACCCAGGGCAGCGCCTCGGTTTTGGGATTTTGCGTGTGTGTGCGCGGAAATGTGCCTTTGAAGAAGAGACCCTTGGCCCACACAGCAGCCCTCACCGCGACTCCGAGAGAGACGCAGCCCAGGCCAGGTAGCTCGGGGGGTCAGAGCGTCCTCCTGATGTGCCGAGGCTGCAGGTTTGATCCCGGGTCAGGGCACATACGGGACTCAACCAATGAGTGCGTAGACAAGCGGGACAGCACATCGATGTTTCTATCTCTAAAATTAATAAGTACAAAATTTTACTTATTTTTAGAGAGAGGGGAAGGGAGGGAGAAAGGAGGGAAACGTCAACATGCAGTTGCCTCTTGTGCGCCCCCTGCTGGGAACCTGGCCTGCAACCCAGGCCTGTGCCCCGACTGGGAATCGAACCTGCGACCCTTTGGTCCTCAGGCCGGCGCTCAGCCCACCGAGTCACGCCAGCCAGGGCCCAGCATGTTCGTTTTTTTAATGGCTGCATAACAAAGTGCCCCCTAACCTGGCAGCTAGAGACACAGTGCCAGGCGGATGTGTGCAGAGGGACAGGCCGGGCGCCGCCTCCCCTCAGTCTCCTGGTCCCTCAGGTCCGCGTCGCTCTGCAGCTGGACGACGGCTCCAGGCTGCAGGACGTTTTCTGTTCGGGCCAGACGCTCTGGGAGCTGCTCAGCCATTTCGCAGAGACCAGGTGAGTGCGGGGGCGGGGCTGCAGCCGGGACGGTGGGGGCGCCGCGGGCCTGGTGCGAGGCCGGGTCAGCAGTGAGGGCTGCCCGTTCATCGCCCGCGGCGCGTCTTTCCGACTGGCCCCTGGCCTGACGGCCGGGCCGCCCCGTGGGGACCTGGAGGCCCCTGAGCACCGAGGCCCCCTCTGCTGACAGACGGTTTAGGGATGAAACCTTGATCATGAAAGTGGCTCATGTTTGAAAAGGAAGCAGTGGTTACCGATGGTGGGTGTGGGTCAGTCTCTGCCCAGTGAGATGGGGTCTCCCCAGGGTGCGGGGTCTCGGCCCGCGGAGCAGGAGGGGCCGCGGGGGCGTGAGCCGCAGCCCCCGCGCAGGGAGCCTGGGGCGTCGGCCAAAGCAAGGGGGGGGACCCCTGCTGCAAAGACGGCGAGCGTCCCCCGTGGGGAGAAGCTGCTGTGCCGTGGGGGCCTTGCCCCTCGGGTGCAGGAGGGGAGGCGTCCCACAGACTCCGTGAGGGGCTGCCGGGGGACACTGGAGGCCCGCAGGGGCCCTGCAGGTGTGTTGCCGTCTCAGCTGTGCTCTCGGCACCTTCCACAACCCAGAGCGGAGACACCGAGGTGGCGCCTGCAGGGAAGCGGGCGGTGGCTGGAGGCGGCCGGGGAGGGCTCACCGAGCAGGAGGGCCTGCGGCCAGACGGCCGCGTGGACACGCGTGTGTTCACAGCGCAGCGGCGCCGTGCCCCGGGTCCCCCGTGCCTTTTCTGTTGGGTTCATGAATCGATCATTTCCCTCCCTAGAAATGCCCTCAGCGTCCGCTCCCTGGCTGTGCGTGCCGATGGTGGGGGGGCTGCTCCCTTGTGCACCCTGCCCTCGATTCCGTCACTTTGCGGATAGCCGGAGGTCGGTGCACCCCCAGCTCTTCCCCAAGAGTAAATTCTGGAGGCAGGATTGCTGGGCCCGCAGCGAGGCGGGCCCCTCAGCTTCAGCTCTGCGAGCTCCTAGCACGCCCTTCCCTGGAAGCCGCTGTTGGGCAGAGCTCTCTGACTGAAGTATGCTCCCGTGCGGGGCAGGCCGGCGGCAGCAGCCCAGCCTGGTGGTGTCCGGCCAGGCGGGGAGGAAGCTGGTCAGCTGCCTGTTGCGGCAGGGACCCTGCTGGCGGCGGACGGTGGCGGGGGGGCTCTGGGAGTGGGGCATGCCAGGAGCTGAGTTTGTCGCTTGGTACTTTGGGGAAGAGGCTAGCTCCCCAGAGCAAGTGGTGCGTGGGTCTCGGTGGGAGCCGTGGGGGCTGTGGAAGACGGGCAGGCCACCCGACGTGCCACGTGGGCCACACGTGCAGGCTGCGGAGGCAGCTGAGGATTTTCTGGCAGCCACATCAAGGGAGAGTGGAAGCGCGGGCAATTGATTTCAGGAACCTCATCAGCCTGACTCGGTGTGTCCAAAACGTCGCCCTGCGAACAGCCGTCAGCAGGAGGAGCGAGGCGCTACTCTGCACCCTTTGTGGCAGCAGGTTGTGGAATCCCGTGTGTGCCTCACCTGGAGCAGCCCCCTCGGGCCGGCCACCCTGCCTGCGCTCAGGGCCCGTGTGGGGCTCATAGCCGCCGCGGGGGCCCGGGCCCGGGCCCCGACCTGGACCGGCCGGCCCCCCCTTCTCGGGCGTCTGCCGCAGGGAGCGCCACCCCGAGGCCAAGCCTTCCCTGCAGCCCCGCGCCCTCTGCCCCGCGGATGCCGTGGCCGCGCCTGCGGCTCCTCAGGCCGAGCGTAAACTAGGGGTTCGGCTGTGCCTGCTTCTCCTGGGGTTGCCCCGACGGGGGCGTCTTCCCCAGGCCCTGCGGGCGGCCAGGGCTCCTTTTCGGCGTGCAGGCAGGGGCACCTTCCCCTCGCGGCCGCCCCGCGCCGCCCGCCCTGCTCCCCTGAGCTCCTCTCGGCGTCTCGGTGCCTGTGCCTCGAGCTCCCCGGCTGCTGCGTGGTGCGGGCGGGCCAGCTGGCCCCTGGGATGTGCCCGCACTCAGGGGGCGGCAGCGGGGGCCCCTCGGAGCCTGCAGTTGCCCTCTGTGGGTTTCGATTGGCTCTTGGGGTTCTAGCCTGGGGAGTGCGGTGCTGTGACTCGGTCAGGTGCGGACAGGGCACGTGGCCTAAAGGGGCTCCAGATACCTGGTTTGGCCCCGGCCGGCTTGGGTGGGCAGCGGACCAAACCCAGGGGGCCAGCGTGCGGTGCAGCCACCAGCGGCCCTGCCTGGCCGTCCCCGCTGCCCTCGCCCAGCCGGGGGGCCGGGGGGGCTGGCAGACCGAGCGGGTCCGCGCCGGTCCTTGGCGGGCGCCATCCCTCCAGGCTGGGTGGTACCTGGGGGGAGCGGCAGGCGGAGGCCCACGGAAGCTTCGCACGCTGCCCTGGGCTGGGGTCCTGCCCGAGCCCGGGCAGGGGGCTCCCCTGGGGGCCCAGCTCTGCCCCTGGGAGACGGGGCGGGGGGATGGGAGTGAGGCTGCCAGAGAGGGGTGGCTCCTCGACCAGCCGCAGTGTCCCCCTGACGTCCCTGGGCCCACTGTCCCAGCCGGGGAGCCCTGCTAATTGGCCAGGACAGTCTGGAAGTGATTGCAGCCGCCCCGCCCCGCCCCTCCCCTCGCGTGTGCACAGGCGTCGCCCTCAGATCCACCAGGAATCCGACCCCTCTGGGGGAGCCGCACATCAAAGCCGGGCAGGCGTTTGATGTCAGAGGCCTCGGAGGGCAGGAGGCGGCGGCGCTCAGCCCTGTTTGTGATTTGTGGTCCCGCTGGCACTGGGTCCCTGGGGAAGGGTTGCGACGGGCCGGCGCTCTGGCGCGTTGGGGGCCTGTGCTTTCCGGACGCCCGGGGTCACTGGGTTCTCGTGAGCTGGACCCCAGGCCCTGGCCTGCCCTTGCTCTGGTTGCGGCTGTCAGCCTGGGTCTCCCGCTTCCTCCGGGGACCTTGGGAGGCAACAGGGCTGGTGGCTCTGGGGCCTGGGCAGGGGGAGGCGTACCTCCCCCAGGGCCCCACGGCTGGCTCTGGATTGTGGGTCTCGACTCTGCGCAGCATGCGCCAGCGCATGCTAAAAGCAGACGACAGAAACGGGCCGAGCCCACGCTGGAGCCACACAGCGGGCCCGGCCACGGCCTCAGGCACCCACGTGCGCACAGTGTGTGTGCAGTCAGCCGGGGCCGCAGCCTGGCTCCCGTGCCCTACGGTCCCAGCCACGTCCCCGTGGGCGTCCGAGCCACGAGGCCTTGAGACCGGGCGGCCCTGCGCGTCCTGAGGTCCCCGAGGGCTGCTGTCCTGTGGGCCCGGCCCCGGGGGGAGAGGGGCTCGTCGACGATTCCGTGTCAGGGGCGCGGGGGTGGGCCTCCCCCACGGACACAGGCTGCAGAGCCAGGCCTGGGCCGGTTTGCAGCCTTTGACCCAGGGGCCGGGGGGGGGGGGCGTGTGTGAGCGTGTGCGCGTGCGTGTACGCGGCTGTACACACGGGGGGGGGGGTTGGTGTGCCCGCTCCCTGCCATCCTCCGGGCCTGTCCGGCTGTGCCTCCGGGGGCTGCTCTGTCCCATCTCTCAGGGTTCGGTGTATGAGGGGAGAGGATGGCGGTGGCCAGTCTCGGGGGGCGGGCGCCCGCTGCCGTGTTGCTGGAGACCATGGCCTCCAGTGTCAGAGTGAGGATGGGCCAGCCCCCGGTGGCCTGGTGACCTCGTGACCGCCTGCGGGGTTGCGGGGGGTGGGGCTCTGGCTGCGTTCGCTGCCTCCCGGACAGTGGAGCTCGGCCGGTGGGGCCTCCATGGTGCGTCCTACCCGTTGGCCCCTCGGGCCCCGGACCCGGCCTGTGTGACTCGGGCTGAGGGGCTCGGCGGCCTGGGCGCACCGGGGTCCAGGGCCTGCACGGCCTTCCGTTTCGCTTCTCTTGTTTGCTCGTGGCGCAGGGATCAGAGGCCTTCGGGAGTGCGCTGGGCGGCCCTGTTCTGTGTGGTCACGTAGGCCTCTGGACAGGAGAGGGCTCCACAGTCCCCTCCCCAACGTGGCCCAAGGTCACGCAGCCCCCCAGGCCACGCACCCTGGGTACGGGCAACAGCTGCCGGCCTGGTGCAAGGCTCCTGGGGAGGCCGGCCCCATTTCTCCCAGTGTTGCCCGTGGGGTCTGGGCAGCGGGGGTGGCCCTCGGGCACGCGTGGCCTCGAGGGCCTGGGCCTCTGTCCTCAGGGTCGCTTGGTGGACACAGCCGACAGCGGCCTGGGGCCCGTCCGGGAGGCAGCTGCTGCTGCTGCTGCTGCTGGCCCCGCCGTGTGTGCCCTCCCGGCACTCCAAGCCTGGGGGCTGGAGGCCGGAGGCTGGAGGCCAGCGGGAGGCCCCCCGGCCGTGTGCCGACAGCCCCTGGTGGGGCCTCTGTGGGGCGGCGGGTGCGGGGGGCCTTCCCGAGAGCACCCGCGTCCCGCACGCCAGAGGCCTGCCTGTGACGTTCCCCCTCTCCTGCAGGGCGTGTCTGGAGCAGTCGTGGGAGGCCAGCCCGGTCTGCGTGTACATGAGGGATGAGGTAGGCGCTGGGGCCCCACCCGCCTGGCCCAGGCCCACCGCCGCCGCGCCGGCCCAGCCCGTTTTCCAATCTGGAAAACTCGCTCTCCCTCTGCCCTCCTTCCGAGCAGGGGCGAGGCGGGGGTGGGGGGGCCTCTGAAAGCGCGAAGTGTTTCATGGAAAAAAGCAGAGCCCCGGCCCCGCTGGAGCCGCCGCGGCCGCCCGGCCGCTCCCAGCGCCGCCCTCGACGCCCTGTTTGTTTGCTCGGCTCCTCTCAAAGCCCAAGAGTCACAGAAGCGGTTTCATTTTAATAAATATTTGCTTTGCTTCGTTTTGATCTTTTTCAAAACCGAGTGCGGCGTGGTGCAGACCCAGCCTGGCAGAGGCCCGCCTGCCCCCGCCCGCCTGCCCGTGACGGGGACCCTGCTGGCGCTTGGTCCCCTGGCTCACAGGGGCTTTTTGTTTCGACGCTGGCTGAGTGCCCTTTCCCGGCCTGGGGTGGCCACTGTCCCCAAGGGGCCCTGGGGGGCCTCGGTGCGGCTGAAACACACCCACCAGGGTCGCGAGGGGAAGGGGCTCCCAGGCTGTGAGTGGGAGGGACCTGGGGGGACATGTCCTTCCCAGGAGGATGTGGACTCCTTGGCCTGAATGAGGGTCATCGTGGTCCCTGCGGCCCTTGGTGGGCTGGTCACTGGGCCTGGGGTGGCCAGCCCAGGCCTGACCCTGCCGGCCGAGCCCAGGCGGGGTGGGGGGCGGGGCCCGCGAGGGGCCGGCAGATGCCCCGGGCCCAGCTGTGCCGCTGCCCCCGCAGGTGCCTGGCAGAGCCGCCTTGCAGAGCACGACGCTGCAGTCGCTGGGCCTCGCCGGGGGCAGCGCCGTCATCAGGTGGGGCCCCGGAGCCTTGGTCTCGTGAAGGACACGGGGTCTCGAAGGAAAGGAGCAGGAGGCGCGGAAAAGCGAAGGACACGCGGCCCGCGGCCCTCACCCCCCAGCCGGAGGGTGGAGCAGGGTCGGTGAGACGGGGACACCGAGACCCAAGTGGAGCCTCACTCTCTTTCGGCCCCCAGGTTTGCCATGAGGCCGCGCGGCTCGTCCGCCAGGCCGGAGCCCGGGGTCTCCCGGACCAGCAGCCCAGCAAGCCCGGCCTCGGCCTTGCCGGCCCAGCAGGCAGCCGGCAGCCCCCTGCTTCCCTTGGACCCCGCGGGGCTCAGCCGGGGCGATGTGAGCCGTCGGGACGAAGCGGGCGCCTCGGGGGCAGGCCGCATGGACGGCCCGGGCCGAAAGCCAGTGGACGCCCCGGTGCAGCCGACTCCGCAGGGGCCCCCGCTGGCCCCCGTTGTGCCTTTCTCCGGCGGGGGGCAGCGCCTGGGGGGCGCCTGCGGCTCCGCGAGGCGCCTGACGTCGCCGTCCGCCAAGCTCCCCAAGTCCTTCTCCGGCCCTGGAGGTCCCTCCCAGCCGAAGAAGTCGAGGCCCCCGCTGGAGCCGGAGCCCGAGCCCGAGCCGGTAAGCGGTGAGCCGGGTGTGGGGGGCCCTCCCCCGACCACACTGCGCCGCTGGGCGTGCTTGTGGAGGTGGTGGTGGTTTTTGTCTTGAATCCACCTCACGGAGGTGCCATTTTAGATGTGGGCTGATGGGTTTGGACAAACTCGTGCGCCCCGGGGCCCCGCCTCCTGATGGCCTCTGTGCGGGTGTGGGCGCGCAGAGCACTGCTGCCCCTCCTGGTGCCGTGGAGCTGTCACCCTCCGCTGGGGCCGGTGGCTTTGATGTGAAGGTGGCCCGGGCCTTGGCCGTCCGTCCTGGGCTGCCCTTACTCCTGGGCCACGCATCGCGCAGCTGCCCTGCCGTCCGCACGGGGCAGGACGGGCCAGGCGGGTCTGCCTCGCCCTGACCCGAGAGGAGGGGAGGAGGAGAGCGATCCCCTCCCAAGCTGGTGGGGGGTGCCGGGCGTCCCGCGGGGGCGTCTTTGTGTGGAAGTCCCCACTGGCTGCCGGCCCTTCAGCTTGCAGGCCTTTGACGAAGTGGCTGAGCTCGCGAGCGCTCCCCCGCCGCCCTCCTGTCTGATCGGCTCTGCGGGGGCAGCCCCTGCCTGAACAGCCGCCGTCGGTGAGCGCGGGGCCGGCCTAGTGGCGGCGGTGTCTCCGTCACACCAGATCCGTCTCTGAGCACCTCTGACTCCCTCATCCCCGCATCCGACACCGGCCTGCAGGGACCGTCCCTCCCACACGGCCCGGCCCCGCCCACTGCTCTGGCCACACGCCGGCGTGGTGCCCTGTGCTGGGCCGCGCTGAGCTGCGGTGGTGGGCCAGGGCGCAAGCTCCGCAGGACCGTGCACCCCAGGGCCCCGCAACCCCGGCCGGCACTGTCCAGTGGCGCCGCCCCTCTGGGTCGGACTGGCCGCGGCCCAGAGCTCCTGCCTGTGGGGCCCGTTCTCGCCCGGGGGGCGGTGCCGGACGTCCTCCTCAGAGCTCCTCTGGGCCTTTTCACAGCTGGGTCCTCATGAGTCCCACGGGACAGTGTCCACGGGTCCGGGGGGTGCACGCAGTGTGGCTGTCGTCACCCCAGAGGCTATGCGTGGGGGTCCCCCACCTGACTGCTTCGTCAGAGGCTCGCGGACCCCCGTGCCGTCGTTCGTGAAGGCCCCTGCGGTTCCCCTGCGGGCTTCTCTGCGTCCTCCTCTCAGTTTTTTCTTGCGTCCGGGGTTTGTGGAGTAGCACCTGTTTTAGTGGGCGCCCTTGTCTCGACCTGGATGTTAAAAGGGGTAACTTGTTCGCCTCTGAAGGGTTACATGAGATGGGAAAAGCCTTTACCAAGCTAAGAGTGTCTATTCTTAATTTCCTGAGGAAATTTGTCACCACGAGTAGGTGTTGGGCTTCACAGGCTGCTGCTCCTGCGTGGAAGCCACCCTTGGCCGCCGCTCTCCTTCCGCACCTCCTTGCGGCGAGGCCGGGCAGCCCCCGCCAGCCTGTGCCCACCCCCGGGCCCGGGCGGCTGCGTGCGCCCTGTGGGCGGCACTGGGGAGCGGTGAACCCAGGCGTCCATTCGGAGTCCTGCGTGTTTTCGGTGACACCGACCGCGGAGCTCACGGGCTGACGCCACCCGCTCCTGCCTCCCCTGGGCCCCTCCTGACTCGGCCTCCAGGTCACGCCCGGGGGCCTGGAGGTTCCGGCACCTGCGCTGGCCTGGGACGGGGGGGTGGGGGTCAGCTTGGCTGTGGAGCGGAGCCCTGCGGGGGGCCAGGCGGCCGGACTCGCAGGTCCCTGCGCCGCCCTGGGCTCCCTCGCTGAGGGGACGGTGCGGGGGTTGGCAGGGGTGCCTGGGTCTTTTGGGGTGCTACTGGCTCCTGCGCTGCCCTTTGGGCCGGGCTAGGAGCCGCTGCGCATTCCTAGCCTCAGTCTCTGTCATCTGGGTCCAGAATCGGTGGCCGGAATGAGTCCCATGTGGTGGGTTGAGCCGGAGCCGGCGGTCTGACTCCCTCTGGACCCGCCTTCCTGGGGCCTCTGGCTTCGAGGGCCCGGACTGGCTGTGGTCGTCTCCCAACCTAAGGGTGCCGAGGTTGCTCGGGGCGGGCCCTGGCTCACCGCGCCACTCGGGACCGGCTGACGGCCCCCTGGGGGTGGCCTGGGCTTGGGCTCCCCCGGGCACAGGGCCCGGCGCCCCCCGGTACTGACCCCAGGCCCCTGGCCGGAGGGGTCCGCGCGGCTGCCTGCAGCGCAGCCTTTGACCTGGGAGCCCTGGCAGCTGGCTGGTGGCGGAGCGCGCCCCGCCCGCCCAGTGCCTCCCGCCACTAGCAGCCGCACAGCCCGAGGGCCGGCCAGCCACATGGTGTCTGCCTGGTGTCCCTTTTCAGTGCGGGGGAGGGGAGAAGGGAACAAAACAGAACTTTTGGGGGAACTTCAAAGGTACACTTTAGTAATCAAAAAGAGCTCCCAAGTTTCCCATTAATGTTCTGCCTGTGTGTGGTTTTTGGATTTAAATAAAGAGTCAAAAGAGACAGGATAAAATACAGGCAGGTCCTCGGCTGAGGCTGGGATGGTTTACAGACCCGGGCGGCCCCCGCCTTTGATGTCAGAACATTAATTATTAGAAGGTAGTTTAACTGGCCATCAGAACGGGCCCAGGGAGAAGCCGGGGCTGCCTGGCGGCCCCTGGCCTGTCCTTTGAAGTCCCTCCCCGGCCGGGAGGCCGCCCCCCAGCTCTGTGCGCTCCGGCAGCCGTCCCAGCAGGCACTCCCCGCGCAGCTGGCACGGGGTCCCTGATCAAAAGCCCCAGCCCCCTGGGCAGGGTGGGTGGTCCGCCGGGCAGGACGGGCGCTGACAGCGGCCGCCCCGCCCGGCCCCTCCCCCAGGCCTGGACCTGAGCGCTTCCTCTGTCCCTCGCCCCCGTTGCCCTGTCTGGCTGGGGCCGGCGTCAGCCTTCCTCTGGCTGGCCCGCTCCCTGGACGGGCCGGGGGCCGGGAGGAGCTGGCCGGGAGGAGCATGGCTCCCCTCGCCGCCCGGCCGCCCTCCTCCTTTCAGCCTGGGGTGCCGGCCCATGACGTCCCCCGAGGGGCCAGCCCACTGCCTGCCACCTGCAGGCCCGGGGTGAGCCGGTCCCTGCCGGGCCCCACGGGGTCTGTGGACGCCCCAGCTGCAGCCCCAGCTGCCTGGGCGCAGTGTGGCCTCGGTTCGAGGCCCACCCGGGTCTGGTGGCGGGTAGAGCAGCAGTTCCTGAAGTCTGGTGACGGGCAGGCGCCCTCCTGCCACCTGTCCCGCTGTGTCTCAGCCGGGATGGGCCCTGCGGAGAGACGGACGCCCAGCCTGCCGGCCACAGCCGCTCCTGGGACCCCTGGGCTGCCCACACGGGGCCAGGCACCTCCTGCTGGGGGCCGGGGGGCCTGGTCTCCACTGCCCCTGCTCCCCAGGGGCAGCTGTCAGGCAGCGGGGGGGAGGAGACCCTGACTGCGTTTCAGTTCTCTGGGGCTCAGTCCCCTTATCCACGGAGGTGCACGCCCGCCCACACCGCGGGCACGTGGAGCCGTGGCCGAGTAGGGTGTCTTCCTTCTGCCGGGAAGGGTGGGCGGGCCTGTGGCTGGCCGGGCCGCGGGCCTGCGCCCCTGCCAGCTGTACGGAGAGGCCCCGGGGCCCCGGCAGCCCCGCCCGCCTGGACTGTGGTGGTGTCCACTCTCCGGCGCGCCCTCCAGGGGCGGCTGGCTCTGGGAGTGACTCGGGAGGTTTGGCCCGCGGCCCTTGCGTAGTGATTCAGCTCGGCTCCAAGCCTCAAGGGGAAACGCTTTGCATTCCCCGTTGCCCAGACTATTGTCAGGGGACGGTCTGGCCGCGAGGGCGGCGGGAGCGGGGCCAGGAGCCCTCACAAGGGAGCTGGAGAGTCCGGGCTGAGGCCGCCTCCAGATCGTTTGCGCATTTTTCCTCTGGGTGTCATCGCGTCCTGGAAAATTACCGTCAGGAAAATGAAACCTCAGAGGCAGCGAGGCCACTTCTGCCATGAGGGGACCCCGTGTGCCCAAGCGGGTCCTCGGCTCCTGGTGCGGCGGCCGCTGCAGTGCGTCCGCCGACTGTCTGGAGACCGCCGGGCCCACGCCTTGGCCCGGCGCCGGCTGCTCGTCCCCTCCACGTCCGGCCCGGCCGTGCCTGTCGCCGCGCTGAGCTCTCAGGCCTCGCTGCCTCTGGGCCCTGTGCTGCAGGCGGCCGCCTGCTGGCAGGCAGTCGCCGGGTCCCCACCTCTCCATGGCCTGGGTGTCGGTCCAGCCTTCGTCCAGCGCTGGCCCGCCGCCCGGGCCTCCTGTCCCTCCTGCTTGCCTCCCGGGCCCCGGCCACTGTCATCTAGTCGCCGATGGCCGTCACCGATGGGGTGACGTCAGGGTCCTGGTGGAGGCGCCATGCCGAGCAGACCTGCAGGTTCCAGCTGCAGAGGCCAGCTGTCAGGAGTGCCCCGAAGGCCTGGGCTCTGCCGTTCCGAGCCTGCCACCCCCAGCCTGCCACCCGCAGCGGCCCCGGGCACCCGCTGTGAGGCGTGTTCCTGGGCCCCTCCCGGTCGGAGCCCAGGGCTGCGGCCCCAGCCCGCACGCGGGTGCCTGCCCCAGCGGTGAAGGCCCGAGCAGGCGGTCCTCCCTCGCAGCAGCCAGTTCGCGCGGCCTTTTCCCGAGTTGCCCTAGGCCTCTGCTGTCCATCCAGAAACGTCTGTACACCCGCTGCAGGCGCGGGCCGTGCGTGACGCCTGCTTGTGACCCGCAGCGGCCGGTGCAGGGGCAGCAGACAGGCCATGGCAGCACGCAGCGGGGCCGGGCGCCCCCACGCAGCCTGAGGCAGGCCAGCCGCCGCCTCCCCTCCCGCTCCTTCCGGGGAGGCGAGGGTGGGGCCTGAGGCCTCCTGCTTCCCCCCCATCCCTGGCGGCACGGTGCATGTCCCTGCCAGCCCAGGCCCCGGAGTCACGTCCGTCCGAGTTCTCGGGGGCAGGGCCTGCCGGAGGCCAGAATGTGCCGGCAGCTGTGGGGCTCGGCTGTCCCCTGGGAGTGCCGGCAGGACCGCGAGGCCAGTGTGGCCACGTGCTTCCCGGGGCTGCCCCCCGCCCAGGTGCTGCGTCCCTGGGGCCAGCCATGGGCGGGGGCTTCCTGCTGGAGCCCCGGGGCCTGGCCCTCGTGCACACGGGGCTCCCGCCTGAGGCGTACCCCGTTCTGCCCGCACACCCCCAGGAGCTGGCGCGGCCCCGCTGGAATGCAGGCGCCTGGCTGTGGGGGGCGGCCGGCGCCGGCATCTTGTTATAGAAAGTTCTGGCGCCAACTGCCTGAGGCGGCTGCAGGAGGGTTGTGGCTTTGAAGGGGCAGCCCCCAGGGGCCTGGGCCAGCCACCTACGGGTCCGCCAGCCCTCCCTGGATGCTGTGCTGCGGCCCTCGGAGGTCAGAGGGCGTCCCAGCAGAGCCCGCTGCCGGGAACCCAGGGAGAGCACTTGGGAGGCGCGACACAGCTGTGTGCGTGGTGACCGCAGGGACCTGCTGGAGGGCAGGCACGGCCTTGCTGTGGCCGGGGGAGGGCGGCCCTGGAGGCGCCCAGCAGGTGGACTCGGGAAGGGGGCCCATGGACACCGAGCGGCTCGGGCCGGCTGTCCCGGGGCAGCCGTCCGGCCCGACGTGCTGGCGAGGCCGCGGGAAAGGACGCAGGAAGGGACGACTGGGGAGGCCGGTTCGCGGAGCCGGCCGAGCCCGGCCTGGTCCCGTGTGCAAAACGGGAGGTGGGGTTGCCCTGCCATGATGGGGGCGGCGCAGGGCGCGGCTTCCTGGGCAGCCCCCCCATGGGCGTTGGCCCTCCTGGGGTGGGGGGTGGGGGTGGGGCGGGCAGGGCCACCCCATGGGCGCTGCGCCACAGAGGTGCCTGTGCTCGCTCTAGTCACCCACCCAGGCGCACCACACACAGAGCCGGCCCTGCCTTGTAATTGCCACCGACCTTGCTGCCAATTAGGAGTGACGCTGTCCCTTCCTGTGTCCCCAGGGTGGGCAGACGGAGCCAGGCCGCCCCCTGGGGCAGGGAGGTGGGGTCAGCCCGGCTGTGGGGCCAGCGGTTGGCAGCTTTTTGCCAAACCTCTAATTTGGGGGCTGCCGCTTCCCCTGCCCTTCCCTTGGAGCCCCTGACGTGGCCTCGGGCAGCGCGCTGGTCCCCAGGCTTTGGGGACCCTGGTGGCAGACAGTCCCACAGAGACAGGAAGTGAGCAAGGAGCTGCTGGGGCGGCTGGCCCTCCGGGCCACCGCTCACCCCAACACCCCGGCCCCCCTGGGGGTGGAGCCAAGACCTCGGGGGCCCAGGTCTGGGGAGCGAGGGTCCCGCATCTGTCCTGCTGCGCAAGCAGCCACGAGGGGGCACCCCGTCCGGGACAGCCTGCTGTCCTCGCCCCCCCCCCCCCATCCTGGAGACCTGGGCCTGGCCGTGGGCCCACGGGTGGGGCCTGGGCTTGGCTCTGGGGTCTGCACATCGCTGGGCATCCGGGCCCCGTATCAGCCCAGCCCCTGCCCACAGCCGGTGGCCCGGGACCCCGTGGTGTGCCACCCTGACCGGGAGGAGCAGGTCCAGGCCTGGCCGGTGGAGCTGCCGGACGAGTTCTTCGAGGTGACTGTGGACGACGTGAGGAGACGCTTGGCCCAGCTCAAGAGCGAGCGGTGGGTATGCTACAGCCGCTGCGGTGTCGCCCGGCTTCTCTCTGCAGGCCCCCTGCACCCCTGCCCGCGGCAGCCCCTCGGGGGGAGGGGGCCCGTCCAGCTCCCGGGAGGCGGCCCGTCCAGCTCCCGGGAGGCCTCCCTGTGGCTGGGGAGACCGGGACTTTCGCCCACCCTTTCCACAGGAAGCGCCTGGAAGAGGCCCCCTTAGTCACCAAGGCCTTCAGGGAGGCCCAGGCGAAGGAGAAGCTGGAGCGGTACCCCAAGGTACTGGCGGGGCTGGGACACTTCAGGGGGCAGCCGGGTGGCACCGCCTGCGTGCACCTGTGCTTCCCTGGGCCCTGCACGGGCCGCCTGGCTGGCGAGGAAGCACAGGGCACTGCGATTCCACACGCACATGGCGGGTGCTCGACAGGCCCTCGGAGCAGCTTGGCCGGGTGACAGCGGGTGCCGTGGGTGCTGGCATTTCGCTGCCCCGGTCCTGGCACCTGCCCGCAGCGTGGGGGCCTGGCCGTTGTGGGCCTGGGGGCGGGCAGCTGCGTCCCTGCACTTGCCCGGGCTCTGCTGGCCTGCTGACGCCTTGGCCCGTCCCACCCAGGTGGTCCTGAGGGTCCTGTTCCCTGACCGGTACGTCCTGCAGGGCTTCTTCCGTCCCAGCGAGACAGGTAGGAGGCCCTGCTGGGCGGCGGCCGGGCTGGGGGCAGGGTCGGGCTCTGAGCCATGGGCTGTGCGGGGTGGCGCACGGGGCCAGGCCTGGCTCGTGGCAGATGCTCGCCGGGCCAGCTGCTGGGGACTGGCCCGCGTGCCCTTCTGTTCCGGACCAAGGGCCCCGGGGGCCGCAGCTCGCCTGGGAGGCAGGCACCAGTGCCCTGGCCCTGGGCAGGATGAGCAGCGAAGAGAAGGACGTTTCTGCGGGGTGGGGGTCTGGGGTGGCCCGTGCCGAGGCGCAGCTGAGTGTGGACGTCAGGCCGGCCTGTCCCGTCCACGGCGGCCAGCGCTGGGACGTGCCCGGGGGACCTGCTGTCGGCAGAGCCCGGCTCACCCTGTCCTCCCTCCTCAGTGGGGGACCTGCGGGCCTTCGTGAGGAGCCACCTGGGGAACCCTGAGCTGCCCTTCCACCTGTGTGAGTGCTGCTCCGGTCCCTGCTCACGCCCCGCCGCCGGGCGCTGCCCCCAGAGAGTGCTGGGGCGGTGGCCGGGGTCCACGGCGAGGCTGGGGGGTGCGGCGGGCGGTGGCCTCTACCCTCACCCTGTGCCCCTCCATCCCCTGCTTCCAGCCTGGCCTCCCAGTGTCTGGAAGCGGTAGGGTTGGGTCGCTGGCCCCCGTCCGAGAGACCTGGGTGGTGAGAGCAGGGGTCCCTGCAGGGATTCTGCCCCAGGTCACTCCCCCACCCAAGCCCCTCAGGGCGTTGGCCGCAGCAGAGCTGAGGCTGCGGCCCTGGGCCTGTCTTCCCCGGGGAGGGGGCGGGGCAGTGGGCGAGGCTGCTCACAGGGCGTCTGTCTCTACAGTCATCACTCCCCCCAAGACCACCCTGGGTGACCACACGCTGACGCTCTTTCAGGTACTGGCTGCCTGGCCTGGGGCATTCGGATCGGACCGGAGGGAGCAGGGCGCCTCTAAGAGTGGCCCTGGGGCTTTCCAGCCGCCTCTGCTTCCTGCCCCAAGGGGGTGGGCCCTGGGGCTGCTGAGCTCCCTGCCGTGGGTGTGGGTGGGCAGGGCCCACAGCTCCTGAGGGGCCGCGGGTCAGAGCCCTCGCTGCAGAGGCCCACTGCCCCAGAGTTACCTGGGTGCCCGCTGCCGGGAGGGTCTGCTGCCGGATCCCCGCCCCGGCCTCCCCGTGCGGGGCCCTGGCGCTGGCAGCTGCTCTGCCGCTCCCGCCCGACCGCCCCCTCCCGCCCCCTCCGCCGGCCCCGGAGCTCCCGGTGAGGCCGGGGCGGAGGGTGAGGAGCGGCGGTCCGGCGCCCTGCTGGGCCGCCTTCCAGAGCCCGGAGGAATGTCCTGTCCCTTCGCCTGGGAGGGCAGCCCGGGGCCTAACGGTTTCCTCTTCAAAGCCTGCTCAGATGTTTTAATCACTAACAGAGGCCAGCCCTTGCTAAGTGGCCCACAGGCACTGTGAGGTCTGAGCCGGGGCTGCCCGGTTGTAGGGAGATGGGACCAGACCAGGCGGAGAGCTGGACGCTCACCAAAGAAGGACGGCGGGGCGGGGCCGGCCCAGGGCCCCTTCTCAGCCCCAGGAGGCCGGAGGCGCTGCACCCCGGCCCGCCCCCCGTGCCGCCGGCCTGCCGATGGGCCCTGCGCTGGACGGCCGGTGCTTGGGGGGCCGGCTCCCGGACCCTCGCGCCGCGGGCGGCCCTCTGCTCTGGCCTGTCAGCTGGCGCGGGGCTGCGGGCCTCCCGGGGGATGGCCCGCCCTGGACCAGAGCTGGCAGGGCTTAGGGAAGGAAGCCTCCCGCCCGCCCCGGGTAAGCGGCACGGAAGCCGCGGCTTTCATGTCCCTGGCAGGGCTGCACCCTGGCTGCGAGCCGCCCGGGGGCCGCCCGGGGGCCTGCCCAGTATTCGAGTGACAGCTCTGGGTGGGCGCAGGGGCGGGAGCCCCGCTGCCCTGCTTGGCTGCTGGGCCAGCAGCGTTCGGTGGGGGAGGGAGCAGATGCAGTCAGCGGGCACAAGTGGGCACAATGCCCCACGTCAAACCTGCTTCCTGGGCCCGAGCCCCCTCTGGTGCTGGTGCTGCTGCCCCCCACGCCCCCAGCCCTGTCCGCCACCTTGCGTGGGACCCTTAGTGGGTGCTGAAGACCCCGTCACAACCTAGGGATCCCCTCAGCCCGCGCGGAGGGGCAGACCTGCTGCGGGGGCCCTGGTGGCCAGCACTGTTTGCTCCCCACTGGTTGGGTGGGACCCCCAGGACACAGGTCAGCGTGGGGCCTCCGTCGAGGCTTGGAGCCCAGCAGCCCCCGGGGGGCCTGGTGTGGGCTTGGGCTTGGGTGGGGCCTGTGCAATAGGAGGACGCGGGGGTGCCCTGAGGGCGGTCGGGAGGGGCACGGCCTCCCCGTGCCTCCCGGCCCCCCCATCCCCCCCCCAGCGTGCAGTTCTGGCCTGTGGCAGGCTCCGCCGGGGAGGGGCACCCAGGCCTAATTCGGCCTTCGGTGCTCGCTTCGCCCCGGAACTGGGCCGCGGTGGGGGCGGGGCCTGGCGGTGACCGGAACGCCAGCACGCTGTGCGGGGGCGGCCTGGGGGGCCCCGCGATCTGGTGCACCCCCCAGCGTGCAGGGGCCCTGGTGCGTGCCTGCGGTGCAGCCCCTCCTGCTGGAGTCTGCCCACAGTGCCCGCCCGGGCCCTGAGCTGCCCTCTACCCACCCTGTAGGCAAACCTCTTCCCTGCCGCCCTGGTGCACTTTGGAGCTGAGGAACCAACAGGTGGGTGTGCGCCCCTCTGCTCACCGCCAGCAGCCCCCACCCCACAGCAGGGCCTGCCCTGGGTCTGGAAGTGAAACCTGTGGCTTGGCCCGCCGCCCCCCAGGGGGGCTTTGGCACAGCCACCTGCCCAGGCCGCGCCCCCCAGAGCACAGCTGTGGTGAGTGGGGGTCCCCCTGTTTTCTTCCATGGCCTGAGGATGGGCTGGACCTCCCGCAGGCCTCTATCTGGACCCCAGGCTGCTGGAACATACCATCGCCCCATCTGCGGCCGACATGCTGGCGGCCAGGTGGGTGTTGGAGGCGGGTGAGCGCCCGGGGCGGCAGAGTCCACGGCTGCAGCCACACAATCCTGTGCCTCGGCCTTCCACCCCCAGGTGCATGGCCAGTGCCACCGCCACCCTGTCCCCACTCCCAGCCCCTGACCCTGCACCCCTGGAGCCGGAGGCGGCTGCCGAGGAGGACACAGTGGGGCCTCCCGAGCCCGGCGCTGGGACAGCCCAGCCCTTGAGGAGGGATCTGGGCAAGGTGCCCAAGTGGCTGAAGCTGCCAGGTATTGTGGGGGGCGGGCGGCCGGCTGGGAGGGGCTGCCGGGCAGGCGCCCAGGGCCTCCGGGTCAGCCTGGCGTGTTGCGTTGCAGCCAGCAAGAGGTGAGAGCTGCCTGCTGAGGTGCCCGCTGCCCGCGACGGGGCCCCTCCCCACCCTGATGCAAATAAAGACTGGAGCGTCCCAAGCCCTCTGGTTGCCTTTCTCCGGAGAAGAGCCCGCAGGCCTGTGGCCCCGCCGCCGCCGCTCTGTCCAGGGCTCCCAGGCGCAGGCCTCCAGCCGCTCATGCAGCCTGGCCGAACCTCCGTGTGGCCTGGGTTCCTTGCCACAACCACGTTCTTTACCAAGGGCACAGGTGCCGCCCCTTGGTGTTCGCCTGGCACCACTCATTACCCCCTCCCGTGAGAACACCAGTCGGGGACAAGGGCCTCCGGGCACGCCCAGCCCGGCCAGCCCCCTGGTGCCAGCACGAGGCAGCGAGGAGGTGGCCTCTGTCCGCAGGCAGTCGGGCAGGGCCTGGCGTGGCCCCCCCCCGCCCCTCCGCCCGAGGCACTTGAGAGCATCCGTGGGGCACGGGCTCTGGCCCTCGTCGCCAGCCTCCCCTTTAGGTCTGATTACTTCCACACGCTCCCAGCGCTTTGAAGCCCAGGGTCCCCCTGAGGGCTGGGGAAAGGACAGTGCGGGACACAAGCAGGGAAGGGGTGCAGGGCGGGGCCCGCGGGGCCAGGTTGGGGGTGGAGGGCTCGTCCCCCAACCCGTGGCCTCCTTAGGTGCGGGGTGGGAAGGGCTGACCACTGGGGACCCAGGCTGCCTGTGAGGTCCTCCCAAAGGTGCGCTGGTCCCCATAGCAGGCAGGGAGGCACAGTGTGGGGCAGCTGTCCTCCCACCTGGGCGGCCCTTCCCGAGGGCACTGGCAGCTGCTTCGCCTGCCAGCCAGCGGCGGCCCGCAGCCAGTCTGCCTGGTGGCAGGGGCACCGTCTCCTGGCGAGCAGACACGTTCCAGCGCCAGCCCCGGCCCTGGGCAGGGTGCACACGTGCCTTTGCTCTGCCCTTCCTGGGCCTCGCATTCCTCCCACTGGGACGGGGAGGGGGAGTCAGCCGTGCTTGACCCCAGGTGACGGCTGCGAGACAGTGGCTTTGCCTGGGTGCAGTGGCTGATTTATTGACATAGCTCCTTGGGAACGTGCTCTCTGCTGAGGGAGCATCTCATGGGCAGGAGGTGACATGCCATCTGAGAGCAGCGGTGGGCTGCAGGGCTTGGCCTGTCGGCAGAGGGCGCAGTCCCTGCTTCTGCCACACTGCCGCCGCCCGCCACCTCCGGTCACCAGGGCAGGGGCGGCTGTCGGGGACAACCGTGCGCCCGATGGAGCCAGAGGCCTCAGAGGACGTGTGGACGCTGGGCTGGGCCGTGAGTCGCTCAGGCGGCGGAGGCCCTAGAAGTCCAGGAGCTGTGGGGAGAGAGGCAGCCTCCTGCACGCCGCCCCCACCCCCGACCCTGCCCTCCTGTCAGACTGGGCTGCTTACCAACTGCGGCAGCACCTTCTCCAGCTGGTCCACACCCACGCAGGCCAGGTCCTCCGCCTGGGCCTGCCGGGCACTGCGCGTGGCCGCTTCTGCCGGGACACAGGAGGGAAGGGAGAGGGGGACAGGACTAGAGGGCTTGACCCCCGACTCCTCTGGGCTTCAGCCCCAGCCGCTGCCCCACCAGTGCCAGCGGCTCAGCAAGCTGATCCACGGCCCGAGACAGGAAGCGTTCCAGGGACACCGCCTCGGGTGCTGGTGGGAAGGGGGGAACACGAAGGCCCCGGTTTCCCCCTCGGGAGAGGAGGTGCATGCCGGACGCCAGCCCCCGGCTCACCCACAACGAAGATCTTCAGCAGTTCTGCCACGAGCAGGAGTGCGTCCCCGCTGACTGCAAGGTGGAGGGGGGCAGGTGACAGCCATGTCCTCTCCCACTGCCCTGGCCCGGGGCTGCCCCCCCCTGCTGCCCCCCCCGGCCCGTTCAGTGGCCCCCGCAGAGCGGGCAGCCCTGCCCTCCGTGCCCACCCCAGGCTGCCGCCCACACCTTTGGTCTTCTCGTCCTTGAAGTGCAGGTGCAACAGCTTGCTCACCAGTTCCTGTGGGGCCGACAGGACCCAGTGACTCACCTGCCCTGCCCCTGCCCCTGCCCCTGCCCCCACCCGATGGCTGCAGACTCCTCAGGCATTTTGTTCTGGATGGGAAGGGGTTGGGATCTGTGGCCTCGGTACCCTGTGTCCCCTGGGGCCCCGCCCAGGGTCGGGGGCTGGGTGATGTATATGCCCCCGGGCCCTGAAGCTGGGCACAGATGGCAGCGGGGCACAGCCAGGTGCCAGCCCGCCCCCAGGAAGCCAGTTGGCTGGAGTCCGGGGCCCCACACTCCACCCCAGCCCAGGGCTGAGGCACGGCCTTCCCTGTGGACGCCCCCCAAGTCTGCCCACACGGCCCCCACCACACGTAGCTTGTGGCGGGCCCTGCGCCGGGAGCCGGGTCAGCTCCACCCTCGGTCCCTTCCTGCAACCGGCAGCTCAGGTGCCTGTCACAGGATGGTGCCGTGGGAGCTGCGGCGCTGGGCCGGGGGGTGGCTGGGTGCAGGGGACAGAGCCCAGGCATGTTCTCAGGACGGCCCGACAGACCTGGGTGGGACGAGGGGTCCAGGCCTAGGCTCAAGGCAGGGGCTGGAGCCCCCGAAGGGCGGGCCTGGTTTGCAGAGACGGGGGCTGTGTGGGGAGGTGGGGGCCAGGTCTCAGCCCAGCCTGGGGTGCTGCGCGAGGAGCGCGCACCAGGCACCCAGGCCGAGCGGCCAGGGGCGGGTGCTGGCGCCGAGGGAGGCTTTGCAGGAGGTCAGAGCTGGCGAGGAGGACTTGGGACATGGCCGCAGAGGCGTGGGCCGTGCACGGCTGCCGAGTCAGGGCCGGCCAGAGCGCCTGCTGGTGGGAGGCAGGTGGGAGGACAGTAGAACGGGTGCCCGGGAGCTGAGAAACCCAACAGGCCCAGGTGAGCCGGGCCCTGCTGGGCCTCCAGCCTCAGCCACGGGCAGCCGCACTACTTCGCCCCGGGCGTTCAGCAGTGCCCGGGAGTGAGGCAGAGCGGACACCAGGGGGGCCCAAGCTCAGAAGGGCAGGAGTGGGGCACTGGTCACGAGGGGAAGCCACAGCCGTCTCACCTTCCCGGCAGTGACCTCGGAGCTTGGTGCCACCTGCTGGTCCTTTTTGCTGCTTACCAGGAAGATACCAGGAAAGGCCCAGGAGGCTCTACTGCCCCACCTGCTCCCGCACCCCCAGGAAGAGCTAGATCAGCCCCGTTGCTGCACAGGTGTCTGCCGTGTGGAGCTGTCCCAACAACTAAAGGGGTCAGCACCAACAGGGAGGGGCAGTTCCCTAAGCAAAGAAGTGGCACAAACTGGAGGGCAGGGCGGGGCCTGGGATGCCTTCGGCCTTTGCTCCGCTTCGGGCAGGTACCACAGCCCCTCCGTTACCATCGCCCAGGACAGCCCTGCTTGTGGGCAGTGGCTGCAACCCTGGCGCCACCAGCGCCCCTGCGGGGGGACTCCAGAGACGTCCAGGCTGGCCCGGTGGAGGACTGCCCTGCGCTCCCCTCCCCAGCTGCCTGCCTTAAGGGGGGATTCTCACGGCCACCCTGCTGGGTTGCCCCTGCCTCGGTGGCTATCCCTTCTAGGTGACTCACTCCTCTGGGCTGGGGCGGAGCTACGATCCTGGGTGATAATGGCGAAGAGGGGACTGAGGCAGAAGGTGAGCCACAGAGAAGTCCCCCATGCCCCTGCAAGGCTGAAACCCCACTGGGGGCGGGGAGGGGACAAAGAAGTGCTGGTGAGGGGCTGAGACCCAGGTCAGGAAGGCCCACGGGCCCTCCTGGTGCACCTTCCTGATTCAGGAACTCGGTGCTGCCTCCCCTTAGGGCAGAGCAACAAAGCAAGACTCAGAAACAAGCGGCAGCGCCGGCCGCATAGCAAAGCGTGAGAGGCCAGCGCGACCTCTGCTGCTCCCCCGCTACGCGGGGCGGGTACCGGTGCTGTCTCCCGGGGTCGCTGGGCATTAGGCGGGTTAACGTCGAGTGCGTGTAACAGCGCCTGGCCGCGCCAGGTGTGTTCTAAGGGAGCACGCCCCTGCACACCGGGCAGAACCTAGACAGACCGGTGCTGCCCGGAAACGCCGCTGCAGCTGGGCTGGAGCTCGGCTCAGGTGAGCCGGAAGCACCGGACTCGCGTGATAGACAACAGGCAAGCAGAAGTTTCAGGCTGCGCAGCGACGTAACAGTATCCGCGAGCTGGGCGGACCTGTGCTCCACGCCAAGCGGTTCAGGGGAAGTCCCACCGGATCCCCAGCATCAGGGCGAGCGGCGGGCGCGGGCCCAGGCCCCTTTCTGAGCCCCGCCCCCGGCACTTCTCCCGGCCGCTTCCCCGGAAGGCGAAGGGCAGGCATGTAAGTCACGCGTGAGGCCCGGCCGTAGTGTCCCCACTGCCCCACGCGCTGGGTGCCTCCGGATCCCCGCGCCCCACACCGTCCACTCTCTCTCACCTTCCGGAAGCCGGCGCTGACTCCCTCCATGACCGTCGCCGCCACGCGCGCTCCTCGGGGCTCCGCCCCCGCGCTCCCAGCCAATGTGCCCTGATCGCGCCCTCTTGGGCCCCGCCCCTGCCCCTCTCAGCGGGCCCGGAGCGGGTAGCCTTTGGCTCCTCCGCAGGCGTGCGCCCGCCCCTTTGTCGTCATTGGCCAGTGCCGAGCGCTCTTTCTTCGCAAAGCCTCCTGGGAGTTGTAGTTTCCACCAGCTTTTTCTCTGTTCTTCCTGGATACTGAGGCGCAATGATGGCCGCGTAGGCAGCTGGTGGCAGCGAGGGTCCGCGGCGCGAGGGCCGGGGCCCGGGATACGCGCGACGCCCAACAGGCCCCATCTGCGGGAGGACCCACCCCCCGAGGGGTCCTCGTCCTTGCGCTGGCCGCATGCTCGGGGGTTCCCGGGGTTACACCCCACACTCTTTGGGCCTCCCACCTGTAGAGCGCTCTCAGTTTGTTCCTGGTTCCTCAGCTGGCTAGACCGGACTTGGGCTCGTTGTGCCCCCGACGGAGCCGCCGCAACCCTCTGTCGGCCCACGGAGAGAGGAGCCGGGCCGCGAGGCAAGCAGCCCCGGCCCCGCTGGCCCACGGTGGGACCCGGCTGCAGGCGCGCGGAGCTAGCCCTGCCGGCCGCCCAGGGCCATGGAGGAGCTGCCGCGCTCCTACAGCCGGTTGTGCAGGGAGACAGGGGGCGAGCCCCAGGAGGCCGTGCTGCAGCAGCTGCGCGCGGCGCCGCGGGACCGGATGGACCTGGCCACGCAGAGCCTGACCCTGGACACCTGCAGGGCCCTGGGCGAGCTGCTGCAGAAAGATGCACAGCTGACGGAGCTGGTCCTCAGCGACTGCATGCTGAGCGAGAAAGGTGGGCCCGAGGGCCGGCAGGGGCCAGGCAGCCCTGGCAACCTCAGAGTCCGGGTGGCGTCGGGTCCTGTGCTTCGGGGCAGCCTCCCCTTGCTTTGTCTTGGCTGCCCGCTGCTCCCTGGCTGCCCGCGCCCTGGTCCTCCGTCCTCGACAGAGAGCTCCGTCCCAGTGGTCTCTTCTGGAGGTTCCTCCTCTTGGGCTCTGTAGTAAAATCAAGCAGCTGGGTCCCTTCTGGAAGCCTGGGAGCAGAGGGCAGTGTCTCCTGGTCGCAGAGAACCCGTGGGAGAACCCAGGGTGCTGGTGAGCACAGGCATCGGTGGCCTGGCCCTGGGCTGCACAGAGGCTGCAGGTGTTTCCAACCTGGCACAGTGAAGGGGTGACGCGCTCGCTCGTGGCGCGAGCCCTGACATTGCTCCCACGTGTCTAGGGAGGTGTCCCAACATGGGGCCCCTAGGGAGCCCCTAGGCAGGGCCCTGGGGGCAGAGAGTGACCGCCCTGTCCCCTTGCAGGGGCCATACTGCTGCTCGAGGGGCTGTGTGCCAACACCGTCCTGCGGGTTCTGGATCTGAAGGTGAGGGGACCTGCCGTGAGATGGGGAGGACGTGGGTGTCCCGGTTGCCTGGGCTCCAGGCAGTGGCCGGAGACCCCGTCGGTAAGCTCTGTGGGTGCACAGGGCTTTGTGCTGGTTTCTGGGGGTGCCCGGCTTTGTGTGTGTGTGTGTGTGTCCTGGGGGCGGAATGTGGTTCCAGAGTGCTGCCGTGAGCAAGCCAAACAGGCCGGCACCGGGAGGCCCGCCTTCTCTGCAGAGCCGGCCTTGCCCTGTGCCTGACCTGGACCCCGCAGGGACAGCAGGAGGCCGGGGCAATGGGCCGCCTCTTCTTGTCTTAGGGCAACAACCTTTATGGTGACGCGGTCCTGGCGCTGGGAAAACTCATCCGACAGAGCAAGTCCATTCAGAGGCAAGGTGCCGCCCGGGGCCCGCCCTGCCCACCCTTGTCCTCCGCACGGGTCAGGGCGGGCCCTGGGGCACTGGGTTCTGCTGCCTCAGCGTTCACGCCTGCCTCCCGGTTGTTCGTGTTTCCTGTCCGTCTGCGGGAGTCAGGCGGGTGCACGTTCCACAGCTCTGGGCTTCCTGCTAGAGACCCGCAGGCCTGCGCCCTTCTCAAGCACCCCTGGACCCCGTGGGAGCAGGGTGCGCCTCGGGCCGCACGCCTCACGTCTACCCTCCCTGCAGCCTCACCCTGGAGTGGAACCGCCTGGGCACGTGGGAAGATGCCTTCGCCACCTTCTGCCGGGCCCTGGCGTGCAATGGCGTCCTGCGGCAGCTGGACCTCCGCAACAACCAGATCAGCCACCAGGGTGCAGAGGAGCTGGCCCTGGCCCTAAAGAGCAACAGCAGCCTCCAGCAGCTGGGTGAGGCGCTGGGACGGCCACCTTGGCCAGGTGCCTTGTTCCCTCAGCCTTCGCGATGCTGCTTCTGTCCTGTCCCCGAGGGCAGGGGCCGTGGTGGGGGAAGAGGGGCGAGCCACGCCGCGGTCCTGCTCTGTTGGGCTATCCCCCCAAAGGAAGCATCCAGGCCAGGCCAGGCCGGCTCCCCAGGTGACAAGGGGTTTCCTTCCAGACCTGCGCTGGAATGACATCGGCCTCCTGGGGGGCCGGGCCTTGGTGAGCTGTCTCCCCAGCAACAGAACCCTGTGGAGGCTGGAGCTGGCTGGGAACAACGTCCCCAGCGACGTCCTCAGAGCCGTGGGTGAGAGCGCGGAGCGGGTTCCTTCCTGCGGGGGGGGGCCCCCTGACGATGGCCGAGATGAAACGCGGGAGTCACTCCTGGAACCCGCTCCTTCGGCTCCTAGATGCCCTGAGGGTGCTTGCGTTCCACAGAGGAGGACACCGAGGCTGGGGCTCGGGGCCTTGCCCCAGCGGCCGTGCTGTTTCCTCAGGGGGCCTGTGCCCCCGCCACCCCCGAGTGCAGGGCTGTGCACGAGCCCCATGGGAGCCGGGCCACCAGGCCCGAACCACCACTTCCACCGTCCCCTCCAACTGGCGATGCTGGCGCCTGAGCCCCCGGCCCAGCAGAGTCTTCGGTCACTGCCCGTAGCTCCCCGTCCTGCCGGCCACCCGAGGGCCGGAGCTCGGCCGGAACCCAGCAAAGCGCGCCACCTCCTACTGGGTCTGTGCGACCCACGTCCTGTCTGCCTCTTCATTCCCAGCCTGCCTCTGGGCCGCCCCGGCTGTTAAAGTCGCCTCCAACACCCCCCATCTCTGGCTGGTCCCTCCCCAGATGCTGCCTGGATCCTTCCAGAACACAAGAGTGAAACATAGCACTCACCTCTTAGAAGTCGTACACTGGCTTTTGACCTTCGGGGTGGAGGGCAAACGCCCCTCCACGTGTGTGCCCCGCCACACACCTCGCGCGTGCTGGGCTCCCGGCCCTGCTGCTGCCCCCACACTGCGCTGAAGCCCCCTGCGCCCCCGCCCGGGGCCTCGGCACGACAGTGGGGACTCTGGGCCGCCCAGCTCAATGGCCAGGGCTGCCTGCCGGCCACTCCAGAGGTTCAGCAGCTCCTGGTGGGTAACTCACCTCCTTCCAACAGAGCAAGCCATGGACCACAACCAGGACCGGCAGGCCACCTTCCGGAAGAACCGGGCCCACACCCGCGTGCTCAGCGAGGAGGTGCGGCACCTCCGGGAAGAGAAGTCCAAGCAGGTGAGGGCGGTGCCGCCTCGGACCACAGAGCCTGGCCCCGGCCCAGCCCCCGACCCCTCCCAGCGGCTGACGCCGGCCCGCGGGCCCGCTTCCCAGTCTGACCCGGTGGTGGGGTGAGCAAGCGTCCTCTCTGCCCCCTGCCCAGCGGGAGGGGGGGCGGTCCCGGCCCTGACAGGGCTCTGGCCGTCCGTGTCTGCAGTTTATGGACTTGATGGAGACGATCGAGAAGCAGCGAGCAGAGATGGCAAGGAGCAGCCGGTGAGCAGGGCCGGGGCTGGGCGGGGGGCCCGGGGTTCGGGTCACGGCTCGGGCCTTGCGGGAGCCTTGTCGCCTGCCCACGGGTATGCTCTCCAAGGAAGTTGGCTTGAGGACCAGGGAGCCGGGAGAGCCCTGGGGGCTGGGCTCCTCAAACCTCCCCCTGTCCGCAGGACGTCGGCAACACGCGTGGGACAGCTTCAGGAAGCCCTGGCGGAGAGGCACTCCATCATCGGCGCCCTCAAGGCCAAGTGAGCGGACGGAGGGTGGGGGCGCACACAAGGACCCGGGTTCCTGTGTGTAAAGTAAGCGCGGGGAACAGCGGGTGGCAACCCTGGGAGGCTCCTTGGAGAAGGCGAGCACTGGCGGCCTCTGCAAGGCTGAAGCGGGGCTGGGGTGGCCGGGCACCACCCTCCTTGCAGGCTGCAGATGACCGAGGCCGCCCTGGCTCTGTCGGAACAGAAGGCCCAGGACCTGGGGGAGCTTCTGGCCACCACTGAGCAGGACCAGCGGGACCTGGCAGAGCGGCAGGCCAAGGAGCACCGGCTGGCGCAGCAGGTGGGTGGGCAGAGGGGACCTGCAGGGGTGGCCGGCGGCTGTCGGGGCAGGTGGCCCATCGGTGGCACCCTTCCTGTCTTCCGGTCTCACCCCTAGGAAGCTGCAGAGCGGGAGTCCAAGCTGCTCAGAGACCTGTCTGCCGCCAACGAAAAGAACCTGCTTCTGCGAAACCAGGTACGGGGGTGTGGGGCCAGGCCCCCAGGAGCTCGGGGCAGGCCCAGGCCTGGACCAGAGCTCCCCGCCGACGGTACCACCTCTCCAGGTGGATGAGCTGGAGCGGAAGGTGAAGTCCCAGCAGGACCAGCTGTTCCTGACCAGGCAGGAGCTGACCAACACGTCGGCTGAGCTGAAGATGCGGGCTGTCCAGGCCGAGGGTGGGCGCACGCAGAGGCCCGGAGACAGGACCGGGAGGTGGGCGGGCGCCCTGGGAACAAGGCCCCAGGAGCCGTTCCACGCCTCCCACTGCCCTTCCAGAGCGCCTGGAGCTGGAGAAGCGGCGGTCCCGGCAGAGCCTGGCGGACTCTGAGCAGCTGCGCGCCAAGGAGGTGCCTCCGCCCTGCTGTTGTCTGTCCGTGCACCCTCCCCACTGGCCCCCCGGGGCCTGCGGTTGCCGTGTGGCCCGGTGTCTGCAAAGCACCGCCCTGGCTGGGCTCCCCTAATCCACCGTGGGATGCTGGTGGCGGTCCTCGGCAGGGCCTCCTGGCTGCACGGGGCCACGTGCCTCCGGGGTGCGGGAGCGGGACATGCCTTCCACCTCCGCTTCCTGCGAAGCCACTTGGGGCAGCCCCTCGGGAAGGACAGGGCCCCGCAGATTCGCCTGCCTCCCAGGGCCAGGGTCCCATGGGGGGGCCAGCGCGCCAGCCTGACAGCCCCTGTTCCCGCCCTGCACCTGGGCAGGTGGAGCACATGACTCGCCACCTGGAGGAGAGCGAGAGGGCCATGCAGGAGAGGGTGCAGAGGCTGGAGGCGGTGCGGCTGTCGCTGGAGGAGGTGAGCACAGGCCGGGCTGGCAGGGCGCGCCATCCGCGGTCTCGGCCCCATCGCGCCCCCCCTTGGGGCCCCACCCATGGGACCCGAGGGCCTCAGGAGGGTGACCTGGGGGCTCCCTCGGCCGTAGAAGCCTGGCCTAGTGGGCGCAGCCCTCAGGCGGTGAGGGGGGGCCAGAACCTCAGGCCGGTGGGTCTCTGTGCGGCAGGAGCTGAGCCGAGCGAAGGCACTGGCCCTCAGTGAGCGCGGCCAGGCCGAGGAGGAGCTCGTGAAGGCCAGGAACCAAGTCCGCCTGGAGGAGGTGAGCCTGCAGCCCTGGCCCAGGAAGGGCCGTGGCCCAGGGACCGCCCCGCCCACTGCGCCCGGTGCCAGCCAGGAGGTGACAGGAGCTGCAGGGTGCTGGGGGTGGGGGGCAGAGTCAGAGCAAGACCCTTGTCCCCGCCGCCCCACGTCTGGCCCCCCAAAGAGAGCCCCAGGGTGGGGAAAGGCTTTGGCCGCGGCTGCCCAGAGGCCAGGAGGGCGTGGGCCTGCGAGGCGAGGGTGGCAGCGCGGCTGGGCACCCCCAAGGCCCACTCGCGTCGAGCCCCTTCGGACTGAACGTAAGGACGAGCAAAGGCACGCCTTCCACGTGGCTGGTGGGAGCGCCCCTGGTCGGAGCAGGGGCGCCCCCGGGCGCTGGCGGCCACCGGGCCTGCTGGCGCAGGGTCGCGCCCCCGCCAGCAGCAGGCAGGCCTCGCGCCCTGTGCTCACCCGCCCCACGGCCCCCGCAGCAGCAGCGCCTGGCTCACCTGGAGGAGAAGCTGCGGCTGCTGGCCCAGGCGCGGGACGAGGCGCAGAGCACCTGCCTGCAGCAGAGGCAGGCGGCGGCCGAGGCCCAGGCCCGGGCCGGCCAGCTGGGCCTGCAGCTGGAGGGCCTGCGGCGGCGCTTGGAGGAACTGCAGCAGGTAATCGGGCCTTGGGGGGCTCCTGGGGGCGCCGCTGGCCCCCCCTGCCGCCAGCTCACCCACCGCCCCCGGCAGGAACTGAGCAACAAGGACCAGGAAAAGGTGGCTGAGGTGGCCAGGGTGCGTGTGGAGTTCCAGGAGCAGAACGGCCGCCTGCAGGCCGAGCTGACCGCCCAGGAGGCCCTGAAAGAGAAGGTGGCCGCCCTGGAGCGCCAGCTGAAGGGTGAGCGGGCGCCGCGCGGAGGGCGGGGCAGGGGAGGCTGGGCGGGTCGTCCGGCACGCCAGGAGCAGAGCCGGCGGCCCCGGGCCTCTGGGGTGGCCGACTGCCCTGCCGCACTTCCCCTCGGAACCTCCTCCCCTGCAGCGATGGCGAGTGACCACCGGGAGGCGCTGCTGGACCGGGAGAGTGATAACGCCTCCCTGCGGGAGAAGCTGCGGCTCAGGGAGGCGGAGATAGCGCGGATCCGCGAGGAGGAGGCCCAGAGGGCCAGCTTCCTGCAAAACGCTGTCCTGGCTTACGTGCAGGGGCCCCCCCTGAGGGCCCTGAGCCCCCAAAAGTGAGGGGAGGCAGAGGGACTCCAGGAGTGGCAAGAAGGTGGCTCTCAAGGGGACGGGCTGCCGGGTCGGGGTGGGCATCGGTGCCAAGCTGGGTGGGCTGCCTGCCACAGCGACTCTACCTGGATGCCCGGCCAGAGCCCCCCGACCCCCACCCCCCGCGACGCGGGCGCGCCCGCGGTGGAAGGGCGTTTGGGGAAGCAGAGCCTCAGCACCCGTGCCCCGTTCCACCGTCGCCCTGTACGCTGTGACCGTGGGCGCAGCGGGCCCTGCCCACTCGGGCGTTCTGAAATAAAGAACTTTTACACTTTGTGATGCGTTTCGGGCCCTGGGCCTTTCCTTCACTGCCTGTGCTCCCAGCAGCAGCCGGGTCTCAGGAGGCCTGCCCGGCCCTACAGGACAGATCTCCCGCGCGCCGCTGGGTCACACCTCCAAACTGGGGCCGGGTGGGGACAGTTGAGCGAGGTCGGGGGACAGGGTTGCTGGAGCCGCCCTCCAGCAGGGAGCGCGGCAGCTGCAGACCCCGCGGTGAGCTCAGCAGCCGCCTCCCGCCGGGCCGGAGGGCTCCGGCCCTGGGAGTGGTCTTCCTAGAGGCGGCCACGTGCACACAGACCACCTCACGCATGTGCAGGTGGGTGGGGATCGCCTGCCTGTGCTGCCCCTAGGCCGGGGGCGCCTGGGCACCGAGGGCGCCGCGCGCCCATCCCTGCGCCTAGCCAGAGCGGCGTGGGGGGCCCGCGGGTCGGGGACAGGCTGGGGAGGTGGGCACAGGGTCCTGCCCCTCTGAGATTTCTCTGGAAAGCCCGCGCCCCTCGCCGGCCGCGCTCGGCTCTCTCCGCGCCCGGCGCTCGGCGGCGCTCGGCTGTCTCCGGCCGCTCGGCTCGGCGCTCGGCTCGGGTCCGCGGCCGCTGCGGCGCGGGCATTTCTCCGCAGCTCGCTGGCGGCCGCGCCCGCCCGGCCCGCGCCCATGCAGGCCATCAAGTGCGTGGTGGTCGGCGACGGGTGAGTACGCGCGGCCCCGCGGCGTGGGGGCGGCCCGGGGACCCAGCCCGGGCTGAGCGCGTGGCGCGGCGGTGCGGCCGGGCGGAGGGCACAGTGGGGCGGGGTCCTGGCCAGCGCGGTGAGGCCTCCAGTCAGGCCCACCTGATGCTGCCCGGCCGCAGCCGGGCCTTCCAGGGCTGGGGACCGGCCTCTCACATGGGCTGAATCTTCAGCAGCCCCTCCCTCACTGCCGCCCTGGAGGTGGTGGGAATTCGGCCCCACCCTGCCCGCCCCCGCCGCTCTGCCCGGAGGCCCTGCCTGCCCTGGTCCTCCGCCCCCCCGACCTAGGTGGCTGCGGATCTGCTGCTGCTCCGGAAGCCCGGTCCCCACCTCCGGCACCCTAACTTGGCCTGCGGCTCTGAGCGAGGGGGCCGTTCCCCCTGGGCAGAGGGGCTGAGGCGGCCGGGGAGCAACGTGGGCTTGCCCTCCGTCCGCAGCGCCGTGGGGAAGACCTGCCTGCTGATCAGCTACACCACCAACGCCTTCCCGGGAGAGTACATCCCCACCGTGTGAGCAGGAGGGGCGGGGGGCGGGGGGGGCGGCGGGGCGGGGCCGGGGCCAGGTGCTTGGGCTGGCAGGTGGGGCCTAGGCGGGACAGAGTTCCAGCCCTGCCCCTGTGCACGCCTGAGACCCCGAGGCGGAGGCTGACCCTGCCCTCGGCCCTGCAGCTTTGACAACTACTCGGCCAATGTGATGGTGGATGGGAAGCCGGTCAACCTGGGGCTGTGGGACACCGCCGGGCAGGAAGACTACGACCGGCTCCGGCCGCTCTCCTACCCTCAGACCGTAGGTGGCCCTGGGCCAGCGCCAGGAGCTGGGTGGCTCAGGGGTCCCTGGGGTCCTGGGGTTGGTGCAGCAGCTGGGGCCTCCTTGACGGCTTCCACCTGGGCCCGCCCCCTCCCTCCCCAGGACGTCTTCCTGATCTGTTTCTCCCTGGTGAGCCCAGCCTCCTTTGAGAATGTCCGAGCCAAGGTAGGGCAGGGCTGGGGGGCTCTTTCTGAGGTTGAGGGGGGGAAGCCCAGAGGACCTGCCCTGACAGGACAGAGCCTCTGGCTTGAAAACCTTTCACAGGCAAACTGTCCCTCGGCCTGGGGTCTGCAGGCGGGGGGTGTGTGACAGGGGCAGGGGCCGTGAGCGAGGCTCTCAGGGGAGGGAGGGCCTTGAAGCTTCCCTGCTGGGCCCTGTCCCCCCCCAAACCCAGCGGCCGGTCGCCTGAGAGGCGGGGAGGGCCCCGGGGGAGGGCAGGCCCCGGGGAGCCACGCCTGCCCCACAGGCTCGGGGGGCAGCCCCTGCGGGGCCGGGTCAGAGCCTCCGTCCCCGCAGTGGTACCCGGAGGTGCGGCATCACTGCCCCCACACGCCCATCCTCCTGGTGGGCACCAAGCTGGACCTGCGGGACGACAAGGACACCATCGAGCGGCTGCGGGACAAGAAGCTGGCGCCCATCACGTACCCTCAGGGCCTGGCCATGGCCCGGGAGATCGGTGCGTGGCCTGGGCGGACTCCCCAACTCGAGCGTGGCCCCCGCCCCCGCCCCCGCCGACCCCTCCCTCGCTCTCCTCCCCCTCGATGCCCCCAGGTTCCGTCAAGTACCTGGAGTGCTCGGCCCTGACTCAGCGGGGCCTGAAGACAGTGTTCGACGAGGCCATTCGGGCAGTGCTTTGCCCACCCCCCATGAAAAAGCCAGGGAAGAAGTGCACAGTCTTCTAGAGCCCGGGCCGGAGGCAGCCCCGCCCCCGCCCCGCCGTGTCTGCTGTTGTGTTGAGCTGTCTGTGTTGCAGTCTGCTGTGGGGAGTGCTGTGGGTGGGGAGGGGCAAGGAGCATGGGGTGGGCTGGGGCAGTGGGGTCCTGGCCACTCTGCCTCCGGGGGGGGGGGCACAGGCGCCAGCCTGCCCTTGCCCCACGGGAGGCCGGGAGGGAGCAGGGTCTCTCTCAGGCTGCAGGGGTGGGCCCAGGGCAGCCCCAGGATGGGCTTCCCTGACAGGGGAGGGGGTTTCCCGTCCAAGCGCCCAGGATGGGCGGCCCGTTCCTATTTTATACAATAAATGTTCTCCACCAACACCTCCTGCGTGCTCACCCCTGCCTGCCCCCAGCCTCCCCAGCCGTAGTACAGGGGGCACGAGCTTGCTGAGCTCTGTCCCCAAAGAAGGCGGCACAGATTGAGGTGGGAGCAACCGCCCTTAGTCCCTCTGGGACAAAGCCCCGACTTCGGGCCTCTGGGCGGGGCATGCGCAGAAGAACGAGGGGGCCCCTCTCCCGTCCTCCCGGGTGGGACGGGGGACCGTGGGCCTGTCGGCCGCGTAGCCCTCTTGGGCAGCCTTCCCCGCCGCCCAGGATGGGGGCGCTGAGCTGAGTCTGCGGGAAGTCAGGAAGGCAGGCGTCCAGGCAGGACTGGCAGGGACAAAGCGTGGAGGGGCGGGCAGGCAAGGGGGCCGTCCGACATCGCTGAGGTTGGGAAAGGCGGGGGCCGAGGGGTCACCCTGGGGAGCCCAGGAGACACGGTCCAGAGGCTTGGACTTCACCCCTCAGGCCACAGGGCACAGCGCCAGGCAGACATGTGACTAGAAAGAAGACTGCACTCATGGAGGGCTCCATGGCCTGACCGCAAGGTTTTCAGGAGGTTTTGCTGCCCAGTTGTTAAACAGCCATTGTTAATGATTGTAGAAACTGTGGCCTCAGGAAGATCCCACCTCCCGCCTCTGCTGGGAAGTTGGCCATGGCCGAACGTCTCGGGCCGGGGCACCGGGCTGCCGCCGGGCCTGGGAGACCCGTTCGATGGCCATCGCCCCACCCTGAGCTCTGCGTTTTCTGGCCACTTGGCAGCAGCTGGGGAATCGGTCAGTGTGCAGGCTGAGCAGAAGAATCGTGTTTATTGGCAGGGTTCGGGGTGGGGGGCAGGCGGGGCTCAGCATGGAGAATGGCTGTGTGTGAGTGGCAGAGCATCAGGTGACCAGGAAGCCCCCGTCCACCGGCACTGTGGAGCCCGTGGTCATGCCGCTCCGGTCACTCAGCAGGAAGAGGATGACGTCGACCACATTCTCCACCTCTGCGGGCGGGCGAAGTGCAGGGCCTGGGTGCAGGGGCCGCCCTCCACGCTTCCCGGCCACCCGTCCCCGGAGCACCGGTGCGGCTCCAGCCGAGCGACCGGCCGACTCACCAGCAAACCTGCCTAGCGGGATGCGGCCCAGCATGGCCCTGGACTTCTGGGGGTCGCTCCAGTTGATCTTGCCCATGGCTGTCATCACCACGGTGGGGTTTACCGCATTCACACGGATCTGTGCCGAGACCGGCGGGGGGTCAGCGCAGCGGCCTGGGTTGTGCGGGCTGCCTGGTGGGAGACCCCCACGGCGGGACTCACCTTGTGCGGCGCGAGCTCCAGGGCCATCACTTTGGTCAGCATGTCCATGGCCGCCTTGGCGGCACCTGTGAAGACGGACAGTGTCAGTGTGGCCGCGGCCGGCAGCGGGCTGGGGCCGGCCAGGGCCAGGCTGCCGCGGGGGCTGGCTCACTGTAGGCGCTGTGGTGCATGAGGGCGCGCTGGGAGGCCACGCTGGACACGTTCACGATGGACCCTGGGGCTTTGCGCGCTATCAGGCCCCGGGCCACGATCTGAAAGGGAAAGAGGAACGTGAGACAGAATGAGTTGCCAAAGGTCCCCCGCTCCTGCCCCGGGGGTTGCTCACCTGGGACACAGGGATAACAGCCCGCAGGTTCACGTTGAAAGTGCTGGAGGGAGACGGACGGACCCGGTCAGGGACAGGGCCCCCGCTGCAGGGGAGCCCTCCCAGCCAGGGTCCCTCCGCCCCGTGGGCTCACGTGTCGAAGGCCTCCTTGGTGATCCCCAGGAAGGGCTGCAGCTGCGCCACGGCGGCGTTGTTCACCAGCAGGTCCACGGGGCCCACGCCGCCCAGCGCCCGCTCCGTGGCCTCCCAGTCGCCCAGGTCCACGCACACGGGCTCCACCCCGGGGCACTGTGTGTACGCAGCGGGCAGGGCACAGCCATCAGGGTTTCCACACCCGGGGAGGGGGCTGCGTGCCCCACATGGGGAGGGGCTGGATGTGGGAGACCTTTCAGACCAGCAAGGCCGGTGGGGCCAGGGCTCCCAGAGGAGCCAGCCACCAGCCTGGGGCTCAGAATCCCAGACGGCTGAGAGACGGGGTGGGCGGGTGTTAACGTCGCTCCTGGGTCAGTGAGCAATCCGGAGCTTCAGGCAGGCCACCTCCTCCCCGCCCCGCCCCGCCCCGCCCCCTCTGGCCCCGGGCCTGCGAAGCAGCCATTTCTGCTTCCTTCGCAGCCCAGGCAGAGTCGCCATTCTCTCGGCCCCGCGGAAGCCCACGGAGTCCGCGCGCCCTGGGAGGGGTTGCTGAGGGTCCCCGGGTCAGCCCAGGCCTGGCGCCTGCACGTCTCGCCCGCCGCGCCCCGCTGGGCTCGGACTCCGCGACTCTTATACCTCGCGGACCAGGCTGTCCAGGTCGTCCTGGGTCCGGCTTACGGCCACCACGTGCACACCGGCCGCGTGCAGCGCCTGGACCGTGCTGCGCCCGATACCTGCGGGAAGCGCAGCTCAGTGCCGGCGCCCCGCCGCCAGCGGCCCTCCCCGCCCCGCCAGCCGTCCCAGGCGCCGGCCCACCTTTGCCCGCCCCGGTGACGAGCGCCCGGCGGCCCGCGAGCCCCAGCTCCATAGCGTCGCGGAACCGCGCTGTGCTCCCGCCGACCAAATGCGAGCTGGACCCGGAAAACGCGGGGCCGGAGAGCGCGAGCGGGGCGGGGCCATGCTGAAAGCGGGCCCTGCGGGGCGATTGGCCGAAAAGGGTGGGCGCGGCGCGGGCGGGGCAGTCAGGGTCCCCGCCGCCCCGAGGCCCGGTTTCTCGAATGGCTCCTTGGCGACCCGCCCACCCCGCGTGGACCTGGGGTCGCCGGCCCCCGCCACGCCTGTTCCCGCCGAGAGGGTTACTGCGTTAGAAAAATGCCGCCGTCCAGCTGCAGCCGGATCCGGGGGTCCCGAAGGTGGGTAAGGCGTCGGCGATGGGAGACAGACAACTACACGACCCAGAGGCAGTGCAAAGCTGTTCCGCTTTATTGCAAGTCTCATATATCTTATATATTTTCATTTTTGGCGAGCATCAGACATTTGCGGTCACATATTGTTGTGGGTTGGCCGAGCAGAAGCAATTACTAAGAGCAGACTTGGTACCTGACTTTGTGCTTTTCCTGGTTCTCATAATTCTGTGGTTCATCAGCTAGCCAATCCTCCCTCCCTTCTTCTTTCCTGAATAAGTAGGGACAACATTTTTTACAATATGTCCGTAACTGCCTCCTCAAGCTATTTCTTTGTTCTTTTGCACATAAGCACTAGGAGGTCCTGCTCGTGCCAAGTGTTCCATGAAAGGCAAGCTGGCGCAGGGCATGTGTACTCCATCTTTGCTGACTATTCTTATGCCTTCCTGGTAAACTCCTGTATAGGGCAGCGGGGGGTCAGGGGTTCTTTTCATGCTGCTAACTCCTTGAAGGGGATACCACAATTTTCCTTTTTTCCAATAGGCTACAAAAGGCAACCCCTGAGCCGTGGGAAGGGGTCTGTATAATTTCTTTTTATTTTCTTTAATGACCTTAGCTACCAGAGGCGGAGGCACGGGAGTATAAGCCGGCTCCGTGAGCTCCGCCTGTGGTCGTTCATCTATAAACTGTTTCTCAGGGATATTCGGGGGGAATTTCCTTGCTAACTTAACTAGTGAATTGTTAGCACAATCTGGACACGCAGTTACAGGTGATTCGGGAGTGGTGGTGACTGTGTCTAGTCCTGTGGAAGCTAGAATTACATCCGAGGCTCGCCTGTCGGTTTCATTCTCATGTGTCTTATTAATCTTTCCCAGGTTGATCATATATACAATGAAAATTATGACTCCTAGTAATATAATTCCCCTACTACCAATTGTCCCTATGCCGCGTCCTCTTCCCGGAGGACGCTTTCCTTGAAGCTTCTCTCCCCATATCCGGACCTTGCCAGACAACATGGCTGGAAGAGGATGCGGCACTGGAGGAGGTGGCCAGGAGCAGCAGGAGGCAGGGATTTGAGGGGACCCCCTGGAGGACAGCAAAGAACGCCCCCCACCGCCCGCCAGGCCCGGCCCTGCGGCGTACCCCACACCTCCAGCCGCCAGACGGAACCTGCCCTCTGCCCTGCACCCTGACCTCCGTCTGCCAGAGGCTAAGGGCGGGACAGCCCCTCACTTGGCCTTCCCGAAAGGCGCGCCTGCTTAGCTCTCTTCAGGGGCTCCCCCTGCCCTGGAACAGCGTCTAAAGCCTTCCACTCGTCCTGCGATCCTCGGCGGGCAGCCACGGCTCTCACTCCCCACCCGCGCCCGCCCAGCCGCACGGTGCCAGGGCCTGGAGGCCCCGCCCAGCTCGGGCTGCCCTCTCCTGGGTGGTCTGTGGGAAAGGTGCGCGCGAGGTGAAGCTGCGTTCCCGGGGCTTGGAGGAGCTCGACCGGCCCAGCGCCCAGCCCTCGCCCCGCCTTCCCGGGGGTGCCCCGGCTCCACAGACCCTCTGCCCTCCCCGACCTGCAGCGGCCAGACCCCAGGCGCCGGGCCGATGCGGAAGGACCGAGCCTCAGGGAAACCAAGGTGGCGCTGCAGGCGGCCCGCGGCCCTCGGCCCAGGGCAGGTTCGGATTTCGGGCGGGGCGCGGAGAAGAGGCACCTCCCCCGCTTCACGGAAGGTGAGACGTGAGCCCCGCAGTCCCGACCGAGGTCCCCAGCCTCGAGGGGTGCCCCACCCGAGCTCTGGCACCCCGCGTTCCGGGAGCGTGACCTCCGCTTGTTTATTTAGGCGAACAGACCCCAGTACAGCAGAGGGCTCGGTCGTGCGGGGGCGGCAGGGGGTCTCCCGACAGCGCAGGCAGGGGAGCGGAGGCGCGTGACCAGGCGCCGGGCTCGGGTGTGGGCGGGGCTGGCGAGGGAGGCGGGGGCGGGCGGGGCGCGGAGGCGCCGCGGTCGCCAGTTGGAGCGGTAGGGGGCGGGGCCGGAGGTGGGCGGGGCCGGCGGCGCCGGGCCAGTCCCGCTGCCCGCACCGCGACGCTGCTCTAGGAAGCCAGGAGCCCGGGGTCCGCCACGAGGCTGGAGCCGCTGGTGCTGGCGCTGCGGTCGCTGAGCAGAAACAAGATGCTGTCGACCACGTCCTCCAACTCTGCATGGGCCGCGGGCGGTCAGTGTGCTCTCCTTGCCGCCGCGGCCGCGCCGCCCCTCCCCGCAGCCCTGCTGACCTGCCAACTTCCGCAGCGGGTACCGATTACGCTCCACCCTCTGGGCGATCTCGAGGTCCTTCAAGACTTTTTGGCCCAAGGCCGTCATCACCAACGTGGGGTTCACGGAGTTCAACCCGGATCTGGGACCCAAGGGCCCGGAGGCTGCGGCTCAGCCAGTGGACTCGCTCCGCCCCCACAGCTGCCCACCGGGCTGAGCTTGCTTACTGTGTCCCGGCCAACCCCTGACCTCGCAGCCCAGAGCCGTGAGTGGCCGCCAGGGGTCTCTCACTCCCACTGCCCGCCTCCTCATCCCCCTGCCCCGCACCCCGCCGCCTTGTCCCACAGGCCCAGCCTGGCACTCCTAGCACCACACGTTCATCTTGTGTGGCCCTAGCTCCGGGCCATGGTTTTGGGCAGCATGGTCATTGCACTCTTTGTGGAGTCTGTGGGGAGAGCAGCGCCAAGCACCCTTTAGGAATTCAGCCTTCCGTGCAGGGAGGCCCAGCCCCAGAGCCCAGTGTGGGTGGGGGGAAGGCGGGGCAGAGGGCTAGCTTGGGAAGGGGGGTGCAGGCCGCTATGCTGGAGACAGTGACGGTGGAGCCAGGCGCTCTGCAGTCGATCATGCGTTGGGCCACCACCTGGAAGCCCAGAGAGGGGGCAGCTCCACCGGAACACACTCCCACCTGGGCTGGGGCCGCCGTGGGACCACGCCCTCCCACTGGCCCGCCCGGAACGCAGAGCGCACGTTCACACCGAAGATCCTGGGGAGAGAGCTGGCACTTGAGAAGGAGCAGGGCCCGTCTGCGCTGCCTTTGCCGCAGCCCCTCCCAGGCCGCCTGCTCTCCCGCCTCCTGCTGCGGAAGGCCTCCTTGGGGACCTCCAGGAAGGGCTGTGGCCGCGCCACGGCGGCGTTGTTCACCAGCAGGTCCACGGGCCCGCGCCGCCCAGTGCCGGCTCCGTGGCCTCCTAGTCGCCCAGGTCCGCGTGCACGGGCTCCAGCCCGGGGCACTGTGGGAGGCAGCGGGCAGGCACCAGGGAGGTCCCAGCATGCCTAGGAGGCGTCGCCGAGGGCGGGGGGGGGGCAGGCTGAGGGCCTCCCCCCTTGGAGAGGCTGACCAGGTTGGCGGGGGTGCGGCTCAGGGCCACCACGCTGGCCCCCGGGGCGTGCGGGGCCATTGCGGTGGCCCGACCGATCCCGGCAGAGGAGCACGCAGCGGGCAGCGGCCCAACACGTCTGGGGTCCGGTCGGGGCAGGGGCAGGGGCTGCAGCTTTGCTGCTCAGGAAAGAGCAGTCAGAGGGTGCCGGCCGGCCGGGGACGTGCGAGGGCCCCGGTCAGAGGCCCCGCCAGCAGCACCTGGCCAAGGGAGGCCCCCGAGGGCAGCTCCTTTCCGCTGGGTCTGGGGAAGACACCTTGGCTTGCTCCCCCGCCTGCCCATCCTGAGTCCTGCATCAACCAGAGAGGAGCAGGGGCCTGTCCGACACGGGCCTGCGAGGACCAGGGTCGGGCTACCTTGCTCCCCACCTCAGCCTCCCGATGCCCCCGCCCCCCGCCCACTGATACTCACCTTGCCCGGCTCCCGTCACCAGGGCCTGACGGCTGTTGAGACTGAGCTCCCTGGTGCTGACCCCAGCCTCTGTCCCGCAGGGGAGGAGGGTGTATAGGCCAGGGAAGGGCAGGGGACGAAGGGAGGGTTCGCAGTGGGTGTGGCTGCAGTTCTGGCCCCCGCGTTCCTTCATTCAGAAGGATCTGGAAGGACCGCCCTCCTTATCCACAACACAGACGCTTCTAGCCAGGAGCCCCACCCTGGGTTTTGGGGAGTAAGTAAAAGTAAATCCTGGGGTGGGGAACACGTTCCTTCCCGGCTGGCACCCTGGGAGCAGATGACCTGGAGCTGGCTGTCTCTAAGGCTGGCTGTCCCCCTGCTCCCAGAAACCTGACCTCACCATGACCCCAATCTGGAGGCCGCTGTGGCCTCCGGAGACTTTTTCCCCTGCCTCTAGCCAGCCCAGGACCCCGGTCCCTGCGCCCCCAGGTTCTGCCTCCCCAAGGCCCCTCGCTCCCTCTGAGGCATGGCGGTAGGTACAGGGGTGCTTGCTAGGTCCCCACGCCTCCCCTCACTGGAACTACATGACAGAGTAGATCGGCGGGGGCAGAGGACTCGACACGGGCTCCCCAGAGGACCTCACGGCGGCTGTGTGCCACCGCTGCCTGTGGATGCTGACGGCAGCTTCCCTGCAGGCGACCAGTCTGGGTGGGTGTGAGCGCTGCCCAGGCTTCTGTGACGGGGCTCCCGGCGCCCGCGCCTCCCCCGCAGCTGTGAGGGTCACTGCCAGGGCATGTGGCGCCTGCAGCCGGCCCTCCAGGTGTGGCCCTGCCAGGCGTGGGGGGCGGGGCTCCCTCAGGCTCCGGGCTGGACCCCCAGGCGTGGCCCCAGGAAGCGGGGCTGCTTGCTCGGATCTCCTGGCTCTGGTTCTCGGAGGCCCAGGTGAGACCAGGGAGGGAGGGTCAGGTTACGAAGGTATAATTTACCAAATTGCGGTCAGTCGGAGCGAACTTAAGCGGAAGGGTTTTCTTGTAGCTGCAAAACAAAGATTAAAGAACCAGTAGTTCAGCAGCCCTTGAATAACATGGTTTTGTTCAAGGTCGTTTCACTGTATGTGAATGAGGAGGAAAAGGGGCCCCGGGCAGGACTGTCATCCGCGTGAAGTGTGCGCGTCGCTCTCCGTGCCTGGGTGGGTTTCTGCGGGAGTGAGGTGAACTGGCGCGTCCTGAGTGTCCCCGTGGGAGTGAAGGTGGGGTCTGTGAGTGACCCTGGGGCGAAAGGGCACCGGCCCCGGGTGGGTCCCGCCTTTCACTCTGGGCCGAGGGGCAGACTCTGGCCACCGGAGACCCCGAACTGGATTAAGAGGGTCGGAAAAGAAGTAACTTCCTTGTTTCTATTAATCTTTCTTAAGTGGAGTGTAGCTCGCACCGATTTTAAGGTTTAACATCAGAAGTGTAAAAGTACAGCCCTTCAACCGGGGGGCCGGGGCCGGGGCCCTGCCCGGAGGAGCCGCCCTCAGGCACAGGCTGGCGGGCGCCTCCACCCTTCGGGGTGTCGGTCCGAACAGGGCAAAGCGACCTTGGTCTGCGCCTGAGTCAGCACTGCACCCCAACAACTGTTTGCAAAGAGAACAGGAAAGCAGCTGTTCAATCACTGTTTCGGATCAGCGGGGCCGCGCCCGGCCGTCACCTGCCCCCAGGGCAAGCCCTCCTGCTGCAGGCGGAGGCAGGGGGGGGGCTCCCGCCCGGCCCCCGCCACCGGGCCCTCCGGCGCCGCCTCAGGGGAGCCCTCCCTGGGCTCCTGCCCCACCGGTGCTCCCCCGGCAGCTGGCCTTTGCTCTCCAGCACGCCGGCACCTCTCACGTAACCTTGTATTTTCACGTTAGCAGAAGCGGTTTGGGTCTCTAGAAGCTTGGTGATGTCTTCGTAGCCAGAAATGTGCCCTTGGAACTTAACTCTTGTTTATATCAATCAGTCTAGGGCAAAATTAAGTTTGTCCCACGTCCTGTCACTCTGTTTCCAAGAATCTGTGATGCTGCTGAGGGAGGACTCACACGTCTCAAGACGGGAAGTCACGCTGGGAAGCACCGGCAGGCCGCGTGGAAAAGATACAGTCTGTTACTGAGCAGGACCCGGACACCGCAGACGCCTGGGTCCCGGTGCGGTTGCGGCAGAGACGGGCACGTGGCCTGGGGCGCCGCTCCCACCGGGCTGGGGGTGCGAGCCAGGGGCCCTCCTCTTGAGCACCAGAAATGTTTTCTCTTTTTGAAAAACCAGCAAAAAAACCTAAACCCTCAAACCTGGAACAGCTTCCCTTCACGTGCTCTGTTTGCAGAAAAACTCGACAAACTCCTCTCTTTTCACTCCCTCCCCAAGCTGTGCTTTGGCGCTTTGGCAGCCTCCTCCTGTGGCCAGTCCTGGCCGTCACTCTCAGGCTCAGCTTGCGGGTCCCCACTCGGCCCGGGGGTCTGCCCGGGGGGAAGGGCAGCTGGGGCACACACGTGCACACACGCATGTACACGCAGGCACAGGGAGAGCGGCAGGGCAGGGTTCCGTGGGGCCGCGAGGCCTGGGCAGGCAGAGGCTGCGGCGGGGGTGGGCTGGGGGGCTAAGGGCGGGGCGTGCCGGCGACTGGCTTTGCAGGAGACCCTGGGGTCCGAGGGCTCCGCCTGCCACAAAACTGCGCGCCAGCCTGCGTGTGTTACGGGGGAGGGGCTGGGAGGCCTTGGACACCTGCGAGGGCAGGTCCAGGCCTCGAGAAGGCCTCTTCCCGCTCAGGCCCCCCTGTGAGTTCCCTGAGGAGGAAGCTTTCATCTGCTTTCCCTGTTTCCCACCTGAGGAGAGGTCTTGGGCCAACCCTTCCTGAGACCAGACCCAGGGAGAAGTGGGCTCCAGGGGAAGGGCTAGCCTTGGGGTGACCCCAGAGAGGGCCACGCGCTTCATGTTGCAGGGGGAGGGCCGAGGGGCCCCAGGGAGGACACCCGGTGCATAGAGACAGGAGCACCTGGGACGGAGGCCCGGAGGCCCGGAGGCCCGGAGGCCCGGCCCCGCCTGGCTGCTGGGCGGTGCCGCCTCTCAGGGCGGCTGGTGCCCAGCCCGCCCCCCTGTCACCCCTGCAAGCCTCCTCGCTGCCCCCCCGCCCCCCGGAGCTGAAGTGCTGAGTCACTTTGTGTCACTCTCGGGCCTGAGTCAGCAGCTGGGGCGCCACTCCCTCCATGCTGGCGACTGGCTCCCTCTGCCTGCTTGGCTTCTGGGCCCAGCTGGGGCCTCAGCTCCTCTGAGGGTCGCCCCTCTGGGTGCCCTCCAACCACTCTGCCAGTCACGGCGGCGCGGCCTTGAGGCAGCCTGCACCCGGGAAGGCGGGTGCTCCCTCCGTCATTGCTCCCCAGCGCCTGGCAAAGAGCAAGTTGCCACCACGGGTCTGCAGGGGAGCGATCGAGCGCGTGGATGAACGGTGCTTGCCCTGGGACAAGGGCGATGGCCGGCCCAGGCCCCGGACGCAGGCCGTGACCGCTGCCCGGGACCCCGAGGCAGAGCGGGTGGGGGAGGGCACGGGGGCGGGAGTCCAGGTGACTGCAGTAAAGACTGCAGCTCCTGCCCTGGCAGGTGCGGCTCCATGGACTGACCGCCACCCTGTGAACCAAAGGGTCGCCGGTTCGATTCCCAGCCAGGGCACAGGCCTGGGTTGCGGGCCGGGTCCCCAGCAGGGGGTGTGCGAGAGGCCACCACACAAGGATGTTTCCCTCCCTCCCTCCCTCCCCTTCTCTGAACTGCTCCTGCGCGGAAGATGCTACATGATCCACACCCTCCCCAGTGGGCAAGCAAGGAAGACCACGGGAGACCGCACGCACTTGCCGCTCACAGGTTCTTGGGGTGCGTTTTCTCCTGACCGCGCACCAATGAGTCAGACTGAAAGCAGCCACACGGGGCCCAGCCTGGTTTGGGTGCTGCCTGTCTTCACGCCACACACACGTCTGCACAGCCACACGCATGGCTACAGCAAGGTGCGCACACAGCCGTGTGCACTCTTGTGCACACACCCCCATTTACACATACAGCTCTGTGCACGCAAGCTGCCGCTCGCATTTGCAGAGCCCGCCCCCACACACAGCCACGCCCACACACAGCCACGCCCGCGTGCGCACTCGCTGCACCCGCGACGCCCGCAACGTGCCGAGAGAACGAACGGGACAGGCAGGAAGGTGGCAGCCAGGGGCGCGGTTTGTGTGGGCTCGTCACTCCCTGCAGGCGCCCCTCACTGGGCCTTGCGCGCCTGGAGGACCACGGGGCCCGAGGCTGAGCCACAGGGTGGGAGCCTCCGGTCTGCGGAGACGCGCGTGGAACAGAAAGCAACGACCACACTTTTATTCGCTTATTGCAGCAGCGGAGCGGGAGGCCAGGGCGGGGCTGCGGGCTGGCACCACCCTCCCCTCCCCAGAAAGGCACTGGCGGGCGGGTCCGCGCAGCGGAGGGCCGTCCCACCGCTGGGGGCGCAGAGGCTCCTGCTGCGCAGGCCTGGAGCCAGGGGCAGAGGGCCGGCAGGGGCGCTGAGCCAGACCGCAGGTGTGACTTCGAGGCCTCCACGGAGGGGTCTGGCGGAGGGGCCCCCGACAGAGTGGCTCCTACGGGGAGATGCCAAAGGGCACGGCTGCCCGGGGCCCACGGGTGTGGGGGCAGCCGCCCCCGGAGGCCTGCACTTAGGCCCCTGAGGGGGACCCCACGCAAGACCCTGGCCTGGAGCCCACCCCTCAGGGCTGGCCTGCCCAGGGTCCCTCTCCGACAGGGAGAGCCCTGGGCACTGGACAGCGGCCCCCGCCCCGCCCAGGCCTCAGGGAGGCGGCCCGTGGCTGGGGTGGCGGCAGGCTCCTGGGGCGGCAGCCCAGGCTCTGGCGTCGGGCAGGCCAGGCAGCTCCTGAGCTCGCTGGGCCCCCGGGCCTGCCAGGGCCTGTGGGGAGGCCTTGTCTGCTGGCTGCCCACGACTTCCTGGATGTGGCTGTGGCCAGGACCGCCTAAGGGAGCCAACCGAGGCCGGGGCGGGGGCAGGCACTGCCCAAAGCCACCCCCTAGGTCAGGGGTTGAGGGTCACCGAGAGGCGAAGTCGCTCCGCTTCTGCACAGGACACCAGTCCGTGTCCGGGTAGAGAAGGCAGTGGACAGACTTAAACCTGGGGAGGCGGGGGCGGGGTCAGGGCTGCGGGAGGGGCGGGCGGGCTGGCTCTGGAGCTCCTCCCCGCGGCCCGGCCCACTCACCGGGTGGGGTCCTGCTGCAGGCTGAAGCCTCCGGCCACGTTCACCACGTTATGTGGGTTCTCGGGACCCCCGTAGCTCAAGGTCACCTGGGAGAAGAGGAGGCCAGCTCTCCGTGCACCCCATTCAGCATCCCCACCTGCCCGAAGCCCTCGCCAGGAGAGGCTGCGGGCCCCCGGGCAGCGCTGCAGGGTGAGAGGCTGAGCGGCACGGCCAGCGCAGAGGCCACTGCAGAAGAGCAGCGGGTGTCCCCACCCCAAACCGACCCACTGTCCCGGTGGCCGGGTCTGTGCCTCTCATCACCGCCCAAGCCCCTACCCGCTGTCCTGGGCCTGTTCGCCTGGGACGGGACGGGACGGGACGGGACGGGACGGGACAGTGGGTGCCCTGGGCAAGTGGGTGCCCTGGGCAAGTGAGTCCCCATGTAAAACTGGGTGTCCCCACCACACCTGGGACCACCCCGGCCACGTCGACTCCCTCCCCGAGCCTCGTCCCGCTGGGAGGCCCGCTGGGAGGCCCGCTGGGCCAGCCCCCGGGACGCGCGCGGAGGCGCCAGGGCATGGCGTGCGCCGGGGCGCACCTGCTGGAGCAGCGTGTGGGTCGGCAGCCTCCGCAGGTTCTCCAGGTGGGAGTGGAAGAGCGAGCTGTGCCGCAGGCGAGCGCCCAGCATCCCCTCCACGATGTAGCCCACCGTGCAGTCGTCCGGCAGCCTCACCCGCTCGGCCGTGCTCATGAAGCTGCCCAGGCTGGGGACAGGGGCCGGTCAGCACCTCCTCGGCCCCCGGCCCCCTCCCTGCGCAGCTGGGCCCCGCTCACCTGGCCCACGGGCTCATCTTCAGGGCAAGGCCTCTGCTCAGGCAGAACCCAGCGCCCCCGGTGGCAAACCAGAACTTGACGGTGGTCACCTGGGGAGGAGGGCGCCGCCAGTCAGAGCCCTCACCCCGACTCTAGACACCAGAGCGTCACCCACAAGCCACTGCTTAGCGGCTCCAGGTCTGAGCAGCAGAGGGCCCCAGGGCACGAGGGGATGGGGCTGCTGCCACGTAGTCGCTTTGTGGCCCTGACCCTCCCCAAGCACCTCTTGTCGCCCCCCGAGAGTGGACCAGGCACCCGCCCCTCCCTGGCCCCATGCTCACCGTGCCACCTCCCTGAGCCCGCTCGGTCGCCTCGATGGGGTGGTCCAGGCTGGGCCGCCCCAAGTAGACGTCCTGGCTGGGCGAGAAGGTGGCCAGCAGCCGCAGCAGGCCCTTGGTGTTCACGTAGTTGTCGTCATCCACGTGACAGAACCACCTGGCCGCGGGGGCAGTCTCAGCACCGGTGGCCAGGCCTGCGGCCCCCGCCCGGCCCCCCGGGGCGCGGCCCCCACGCACTTGCGCCCAGACTCAATGAACGTGTCGTACTCCACCGACATCTTGCAGCACAGCGCCTGGCGGGTGTGCACAGCCGAGCAGTTGGTGTTGACGACGTGGCTGCCTACAGGGTTAGGGGAACCAAGGACGCGTGAGGGCCGGGATGAGGCCTGGCTGCGCAGGCCGCCCCCCTTGCTCTGCCCCGGGCCCCGAGGCCGCACCCGGCTGACTTGTCGTTAACCTCTACAGCCCAGGCAGGTGATGACCACCTGGGACGCCCTGGGAGGACGCAGGCCGGGGAAGGAGGCAGGCCTTACTGGCTGGGCTTCTGCGGGGCCCGCGGAGGGCCAGGCCCTGGCAGCCTGCCAGCGGCAGAGGGAGGCAGAGGGTGGCTGGCGCGGCGGGGGGGTGGGGGGGTGGTTGTGCGTGAACGCTGCCCTCCGCCAGCTGGTGCCCCTGAGTCTCTGCACACAGTGGGGGATGCGGGGCGCAGGGCAGAGGGGTGGGCGAGGAAGGGCCTTGGGCCCGCCCCCTGGGGGCACTCACCTGCTGGAAGCTGCAGGTCAGGGTCGTCCCCATCAGTGAAAATGAAGGTCTAGGAAGAGACCGACCCCCTGTGAGGTGGGAGGGGGGGCCCTGGCCCCAGTGACGTAGGGTGAGGCTGCCAGGGGACCTCTCAGGGTGTGCGCCCAGGCCAGGCCCGGGCTTGGACGTGCGGTCCCATGGCGGGGGTCGGGTGCTGTCCCAGCTCCAGCCTGCTCCCACCCTCGGCAGGTCCAGTGTGGTTGGGGCCAGACCTGCGCTCGCAAAAGCTTCCACGGTCTCGGCCCTGTCAGCTGGGAGAACCCAACCAAGTCTACAGCCCGAGAAGGAGCAAGAAGGGGTGGGTGCTGGGGGTCCCCGGGCCTCGGGACGCAGCTGGGACAGGGGATCCTGGGGCGGGGCCCACCTGCCGACGGGCCCGGGAGATCCAGGTGCGCAGCAGCAACCCCAGGCGCGGCCCGTGGTTCTTCCGGGTGGTCTTGACGGCGATGAAGACGTCGTCGGGCCGCAGGTGGGGGGTGGGGGCGCGGGCGGGGGGCGCGCGCGGGCCCGGGCCAGGGCTCGGCGCCGGGGCGGGCGCGCGGGGCAGCGGCAGCGGCAGCAGGAGCAGAGCGGCCAGGGCCGCGGCCAGCGCGAGGCAGGCCCGACACAGCGCCCCCCGCACGCGGCTCATGCGACCGCCGACCGGCCGGCAGCGCCCGGGCCAGGCGCGCGCCGCGGCCCCTTTAAGGACCGCCCCGCCCGCGCCGCGACCCGGAAGCGGCGGCCGCGCTGCCCCGGAAGTGGACGGCGCTCCGCGGCGGGGTGGGCGAAGATGCCGCTGCCGGTTCAGGTGTTTAACTTGCAGGTAACGAGCCGCGGCCGGCGGCCCCCCCGCGTCCCCGCCGCCGGGCCGGAGCCGAGGCCGAGGCCGAGGCCGGCCGAGCGGCCCGCGCGCCCTGCGCGCCCGCCCCGAGCCCCACAGCGTCCCGCGCGTCGGCGCCGGCAGGCCCGCCGCGCTAACGCTCTTTCTCCCCGCAGCAGCCAGCCAGCTCTGTGTCAGGGTCGGGGGGTGCAGAGAGTCAGGACAGAATGAGGGATAGCCCGGCCCCCAGCGCGGCCGCCGCGTCCGTGACAGCGCTGTGCCCCGCGCCCCCCAGCAGTAGGGCAGACGTCTTCCTGCCGGGCACGGCCGGGGACTGCAGCCTGAGCGCCAGCCTGTCGGCCTGTACGCTGCTCTATGAGGTACCGTCCAGGGCAGGGGCCCGGGACAGCCAGCCAGCCAGCCAGCCAGCCAGCCAGCCAGCCGGGAGGCGGCCTCCCGCCGCCGGCGCCCCGGGACGCTCCCGGCCGCGATCGGCGACGGGCCCGCGGCGCGCTCGCCCGCACGGCTGCACGGGCTGCTCGGATTGCTCCCGGGTTGAGGTCGCCCCATGTCTTCCCCGTGGCTCGGAAGAAGCTGCATCAGGACGGTGGCTGGGGACGCGTAGGGACCCTCGGGGCTGCCCCGCTCTGAAGGCCGGCGGTTAGAATCCGCCCGGGCTTCTCTCTGGGAGCCGCTGGTCTGGCGAGGAGCCCTTCCGAGGGGCGGTGCTGGAGACGGGTGGGGAGGGCTTGCGGAGCTGAGCTCAGGGCACGGTGAGGGCCTCTCACCGGCCCTGGGCAGTCCCCTGCTCGAGGTGACAGGGTGCCATGTTGCAGGGGGCCGTGGAGCCCATGCAGATTGACGTGGACCCGCAGGAGGACCCGCAGAACGCCCCCGATGTCAACTACGTGGTGGAGAACCCCACCCTGGTAGGAACCCCGGCTGGGGTGTCAGTGCTCCTGGGGGTACAGGCCGGGTGCCCCACTCGGCCCGGTCTCGGTCGAACGCGGAAACCTCTGCTACGTGCTTGCTTGTGACGGTTGTTAGCTCAGGACCCTGCCTCCCATTTCTTCCCCGCGGGCGGTCGGGTCCCAGGCCACATGCAGGTCGGGTGTGCCAGCCCAGCCTCTTGGTCACGGCCCTACCCAGGAGGCTCCAGGCCCCTCGGACACGGGGAGGGGCCGGCGTTTGGGCTGCTGCTCCCGACGCGCCCGCTGGGACTTGGGGCCTGGTCTGCTGCCTTGCTCCGTCTGCCCGCCCCCAGGACCTGGAGCAGTACGCAGCCAGCTACAGCGGCCTGATGCGCATCGAGCGCCTGCAGTTCATCGCAGACCACTGCCCCCCGCTGCGGGTGGAGGCCCTGAAGATGGCCCTGTCCTTCGTGCAGAGGACCTTCAACGTGGACGTGTACGAGGAGGTCCACCGGAAGCTCTCGGAGGCCACCAGGTGAGGCCAGGCCGGGCCTGCGGCGTCCCTGTCGGGGCCCCTCGTGTGGCCCCTGACGGCAGCAGCTGTGCCGTGCAGCGCCCCGGCCGCCCCTGCCGGGGAGCCGGGAAGGCTGCAAGCCGCAGACCGGCCTGGGCGCTCGCTGTTCTGGCTGGGAGAGGTCAGAATCCAGACGTCCTGCACGCTGCCGCGCAGAGCTCGTGCAGACAGTGACTAGTGTCTGCTCTCGGCGCCTCCGCAGCACTTTCCCTGGGGGGCTCCCCCGAGCGCTGCCCCTGTGCGCCCTGCGGGCTGGGTGCCCCCCGTCGGGGCTGTGGCAGGGCAGGGGCTCCTGGGAGGGGCCCTCCGGCTGCCGCGTCAGCCACGATGGCCAGGTCCTCCCTCAGGGACCTGCAGAGCACTCCGGACGCCATCCCTGAGAGTGGCGTGGAGCCCCCGCCCCTGGACACAGCCTGGGTGGAGGCCACGCGGAAGAAGGCCCTGCTGAAGCTGGAGAAGCTGGACACAGACCTGAAGAACTACAAGGGCAATTCCATCAAGGAGAGCATCAGGTGCCCCCCAGGGCGGGATGGGACGGGGCGGCAGGACGGCCATGGACACTGGGCGGCGTCCACTCATAGCTGGGCCCGCAGGCGCGGCCACGACGACCTAGGTGACCACTACCTCGACTGCGGGGACCTCAGCAACGCCCTCAAGTGTTACTCCCGTGCCCGGGACTACTGCACCAGCGCCAAGCACGTCATCAACATGTGCCTCAACGTCATCAAGGTGCGCGCTGGGGCGGGCGGGCGGGCGGGCTGCGGGGCTCTGGGACGCGGGGCTCTGGGACGCGGGGCCTTCCCAGGCTGAGCCTCCCGCCCGCCCGCCAGGTCAGCGTCTATTTGCAGAATTGGTCTCACGTGCTGAGCTACGTCAGCAAGGCCGAGTCCACCCCAGAGATCGCAGAGGTACCCTGCCCCCAGCCCGCTCCCTTGCCTGCTGCTGACCGGGGCTGGGCCTCAATTCTTCCTCCCAGCCGCCCTTGCTGTCCTCTGGCAGGGGTCGCTGGGGTCGCTGGGAGGTCGGGGCGGGTGTGGAGGGCGCAGGCGGCTCACGCGTGCCGCCTTCCCCTGCAGCAGCGAGGGGAGCGGGACAGCCAGACCCAGGCCATCCTCACGAAGCTCAAGTGTGCGGCAGGTGAGGGCCCCGTGCCGCCTCCACTGCGGGTGGGCTGTCCTCATGGCTGGGGCGGACCCTCAAGCCCCACACGCAGGCGGCCCCTGCCTGCGCAGGTCCCCTGCGGAGGCCCATGTGCAACCTGCGGTCAGGTGTGCACACATTGCCCCGGCAGCCACCGTCCAGGCTGGCCCCCCACCTGACAGCCCCCAGGGCATTAACTGGGGCTGTGTCGCCCTTCTGGGCGCCTGACCCGCAGGGGGCGCCCTGTGGGTGCTCTTGGAGGTTGCTCGCTTCGGTAGCCAGAATGTCTGTCCCCGAGGCCGAGGGGCCCCAGGGGCAGGCTGGCCTCACCTCCCTTGCCCCCCAGGGCTGGCTGAGCTGGCTGCTCGCAAGTACAAGCAGGCAGCCAAGTGCTTCCTGCTGGCCTCCTTCGACCACTGCGACTTCCCTGAGGTGAGGGGGGGCCTGGGGGAGGGGCCCTTGCTGGGGCTTGGGAGTGGGGAGGGCTCACAGTTGGACTCTTCTGGGGCTTCTCTCCCAGAGGGGTCCTAGGCCTTCTGAGCTGGGGGTCAGGGAACCAGCCCCAGTTCCATGCTTCCTCCTGGGCTTCTGTCCAGACCGGCAGTGACCCCAGGTCTCTCGCCTTAGCTGCTGTCCCCCAGCAACGTGGCCGTGTACGGTGGCCTTTGCGCCTTGGCCACCTTTGACCGGCAGGAGCTGCAGCGCAACGTCATCTCCAGCAGGTAGGGGGTGCAGGGCCCCGTGTCCCCGGCCACCTCCCTCCAGGGCAGGAGCAGGGTGGGCGCAGGGCAGCTCTGAGGAGTGGGGCTCCTGCAGCTCCTTCAAGCTGTTCTTGGAGCTGGAGCCTCAGGTCCGAGACATCATCTTCAAGTTCTACGAGTCCAAGTACGCCTCCTGCCTGAAGATGCTGGACGAGATGAAGGTGAGGCCTGGCCGGAGTGTGGACGAAGGCGGGGGCCCGTGGGGCCGTGGGCAGCAGCCCCTGACCAGCCCTCCTTACCAGGACAACCTGCTCCTGGACATGTACCTGGCCCCTCACGTCAGGACTCTGTACACCCAGATTCGCAACCGTGCCCTCATCCAGGTAGGCGGGGGCAGGGGCGGGCTGGCGTGTGGGGCTGGGGCGCCGGGGGCCACTGCGGCCGACACCTCCGCTCTGCAGTATTTCAGCCCCTACGTGTCGGCCGACATGCGCAGGATGGCCACGGCCTTCAACACCACGGTGGCGGCGCTGGAGGACGAGCTGACGCAGCTCATCCTGGAGGGGCTCATCAGCGCCCGCATCGACTCCCACAGCAAGGTGGCCGGCCGGCGGGGTGGGCAGTGGGGGGGGCGGCGGGCGGCGCCCGGGCCCCACTGACGCCCCGCCCCTGCAGATCCTGTACGCGCGGGACGTGGACCAGCGCAGCACCACCTTCGAGAAGTCCCTGCTCATGGGCAAGGAGTTCCAGCGGCGCGCCAAAGCCATGATCCTGCGGGCGGCCGTGCTGCGCAACCAGATCCACGTCAAGTCGCCTCCCCGAGAGGGGAGCCAGGGGGAGCTGGCGCCAGCCAACAGCCAGTCCCGGATGAGCACCAACATGTGAGGCGCCAGCGCGCGCCTCTGGGGAGACCTGCATGCCCCACCCCAGCCCTCAGCCCCGGGCCCCTGGGGCCCACTGCCGCCGGCACTTCGGGAGGGGGGCCTGCCAGGGCTCCCCTGCGCCCGGGGAAGTGGGCAGCCTGGAAGGAGAGGGGGGCCTGCCAGGGCACCGCCTCCCAGCCCCCTGCTCGCACGCCCTCTGGGGCTGCGGTTGGTTGTGAGTCTCGGTCTATTAAAGGGCAGCCTGAGAACAAACCCTCACTCTGCTCCTTCTGCAGTGGCTCCCTGGGGCCGGGCTGGCCCTTGCCCCCGGTCCCCTCACACTCAAGCAGCAAGGCCCGGCCTGGGCAGGGCCAAGGCTCGCACCCTCCTGGCCCTGGTTGGGGGCATCTTGGGGCCAAGGTGGACTGAGGCGGGAGGCACCCTGCCGGTTCCCCTTGCTGAGCGGGCTCCATGGCCCAGGCCTGCCCGCCCGCCCCTGCGGCGGGAGCGTCACAGGCCAGCTCTGCGCGAGTCTCTGAGGAGGTTTATTGGTCGGTTTTGAACGCGCACGGCTGCGAGGGCCGCAGGGCCAGCCTAGGGCCTGCTCCCCGAGGTTCCGCACGCTCGTCCTTCCACACGAAGGAGCCCGAGGTTCCCTGAGTAACGGTGTCTCCTGGAGGGGACTCGGAGGGGCGGTGTGTCGCCTTGGTCAGCCCTTCAGGCCAGGGCGCTGCCCACGACCTCAGGGAAGCCACCTGGGTCCCCAGGCCCTGCCAGCTGTGGCTCCTGCAGCCGGGGCTGGGCCCCTTTCCAGGCCAGAGACTTCTCCAGCTTGGTTTTGAAAAGCAGTCCATGACCTGGCAAACGGGTTGGGAAGGAAATGGGGCTCAGGAGGCCCGTGAGGCCCGGGGTGAGGTGGGGGGGGCGGGGGCCAGCACCCCTCACCTGGGCAGTCCGCAGTCTCTTTGAAGGCGCGCTTCTTGCAGCAGCTGCGGCATAGGTTAAACACGCACCTGTTGCCCTGGACACAAAAAAGGCGGTAAGCCTGTGCCAGGCGGGCTGCGCCCTGGCCAGGCCCCTGCCCCCGGCAGGCAGCGAAGGGCGGGTCCTGAGGGCGCTGGGCAGCCCAGGGACCTGGTCGAGCAGCAGGGGGCAGCCTCCCCGCCACCCCTGGGGCGGCACCAGGCCCCAGGCAGCGGGGCCGCACGGCCGCTCACCTTTGGGTTGCCACACTGGTCGCACTTGGCGTATTTTGCTGTGAAAAGAACGCAGGTCCCAGGTGAGCAGGGTGAGCTCCCATCACTGCAGCCCCTCCCCCACACAGCCTGGCGGGTGTCCCCGCCCCATGCGGCTGGCTGGGCTGCATGGGGGAGGGCAGAGGACACAGCGGGCTCGGTGTTGGGCACCCCCGGGACCCACAGGGCCCCGCCGCTGTGAGCAGGCGCCCCCAGCCCCCCGGCCCCTCTGGCCGCCTGGGACTGCGGCTGCGGCAGCTCACGCTTCAGCGAAGGGTCGAAGGTCTTGTGGGGGTTCCTCAGCTGCTTCTTCTGCTTGTTCTTGGACAGGGTGTCCCCGCCGCCCTCCTCCTCCTCCAGGGCCCGCTTGCTGCCGGTGCCCGCGCTGCTCTCCTGGGCCCCCTCCCTGGGCCTGCGAGGGAAGGTCAGCGGGCAGACGGCGGGACGCCTGCCGGGGCCGGGCCAGCGCCGAGGCCGGGCCACGGGGCCTCCAGGGCCTGAACCACTGAGCCCCAGGTAGGGCTGTGGCTGCCGATGACAGCCTGGTCTCACCTCTGAGAACCCAGAGGAAACCCACCCAGGATCAGAGGAAAAGGGGGAAAAGGCTGAAGACCTGAACAGCCGCGAACAGGGGAGGTGAGCCCGGGGTGCGGGCGGTCGGGCCTGCGGGGGGCGGGGGCGGGGGGCCGACCGTGCCCCTGGTGCTCACCCTGGCCGGCAGTAGGGCTGGCAGATCCAGTGGAAGAAAGGCAGGCCCCCCGCGGGCTCCTCCCCCTCCTTCTGCCTGGACATGTCCTCCTGCAAAAGCCCAGAGGGCCCTCGGTCACCAGCCAGGCCCCACGCCGCTGCCCGGGCGGCTCCCAGCACCTGCACGTGCCTGACAGCGGAGCTTCAGCTCCTGGCTCACAGCAGCGACGCCCTCCAGGGTCTTCACTTTGGCGAGCTCTTCGCGGAGCTGCTGGTGCACCTGCAGCCTGAGACAGGCGCCCCATCACGGCAGGCCCCCCGCCCCACTCCAGGCCACCGGCCCGAGCCCTGGACAGAGAGGGCTGCCTCTCTCTCTTCCGAACCAGGCTGCCCGCCTGATGCCTCTGTCACCCGGCCCTTCAAGGCCAGACTTGGTGGCAAGTGATCTTGGTCATGTTTCCAGAAACTTCTGCCTTACAACCCCCAACGCCCCAGGCAGGCTCAGACCAGACAGCAACTGCCTGGGCATCAACTCACGTGTGGTGCCACAGCTTGAAGAGGTGGGCGCGGACGTAGGACAGGGGGCAGGGGTGCTGGCGCACGAGGTCCAGGTACTCCTCGGCCAGCTCCCACACAGCCGGGCTGCGGCCCTCGAACAGGGCGGGGTTGTGCAGGTTGCCCTCTGCGGGGGGTGGGAGGTCCCAGGCTGCAGGCGCCCACGTCCCCAGAGGGGCGCCCGCCCCTCCGCCACGCCATGCCAGGCTGAGGACAGGCTGCCGCCCAGCTCCCAGGGAGCCCCTGGGGGGAGCCTGGGGCGGGCGAGGCCCGCGGGGCCACGGTGTGGGTGCCCCGCCACCGGCACCGGCCCTGGCTCACCTGCACTCATGACCCCTTGCACGCCCGTGTCCCGGATGCAGCGCTGCACGTCCTGCAAGCACTGGATGTTCCCGTTGGCGAACACGGGGATGGACACAGCCCGCCTGTCGGGACGAGCGGGTCCTCAGGAGGGAGGGACGCGGTGCCCAGCGGCGACCTCGGTCGGCAGGCGCTTCGCGCCCGTCCGCGCCCCGAGGGCTGAGGACCGCGCCGCGGGCCGGGCCGCCCCGCCCCGCCCCACTCACCGCACGGCCCCGATGTGCTCCCAGGACGCAGCGCCCGAGAGGGGCCCCTTCTGCTCCTTCGTGCGCCCGTGCACCGTCAGCAGCTAGGACACAGCGTGGCCGGCTCAGCCCCCAGGCTGCCCCGGGGGCCTCTCCCTCTGGCTTCTGGGCACCAGCCTCCACGCAGAGTGAAGGGAAGGCTGGCCTGGGCCTGGGCATCTCAGTCCCTGTCCCCCGCCCCCCCCCGGGCCCCCCTGGACCGCGCGTGGGGCCCGCCGATGTTCTGGGGTGCGGCCGGGGTGCAGGCTAGAAGCCCAGTCCCGGGAACGGGCCAGCCCTCCAGGAAGTGGCGGCGTGCCCGCTGCCCAAGGCCAAGGCGTGAGGGAGGGACAGTCACCACCTGACCCCGGGACTGGTGGTGGGTGGGGCGAAGGCCCGGCACCTCCCCCTGCCTGGTGCTCGCCCCCCTCGTTCCTGCGAGAACGGGCTCACCACCCCCACCAGGCCCAAAGTCGCCACGACGCCCGCCCACCGCGCGAGGGCAGGCCGCCCCGCCTGCCCCGGCCCCTCACCTGGCAGCCAGCCTTCTCCAGCATCTGCGCGTACCTCACCGTCTTGTCAATCTCTGGGAAGACACGGATTTTGCACGTGACCGGGACAGAGAGTTTCTCGTGGGCCAGCTGAACTGGGGAAAAGGAGAGTTGGCTTCTGGGACCCATACGCGCACCTGCGGCAGGGGACGGGGCCCGCAGCGGAGCCCCCCGGGAGCCCGGGCCGCACACAGACGGCCCCCGCGGCACTGGAGGCCGGCACTGGGCAGGGGCACTGCCGCCGCCTGCCGCCTGCAGCAGGGAGAGTGCGCGGCTGGGGAGGCCGTGCCGGCCGCCATCCCCTCCTCCGCACACACCCCGCCCCCGGCCCCACCAGCCCCACCAGCCCCACTGCCTGCATGGGGTGCGCGGCTGACTCACTCATTCTCTGGAGCAGGTCCCACTCCTCCTGCAGGAAGGCTCCGTAGTGACCTGCAGAGACAAGCACGGTCCCCTGTACCCCTCCTTCTCCCTCGTCCACACAGGCCACAAGCCGACCTGCCAGGCGGGCCTGAGCCTCCTGCATGGGCCACGCACTGTCCAGAGCCCTGGGCTGAGACCTCCCCGAGCGGGTGTCTCCAGCAGACGGTCACTGAGCCGCCCGAGCGCCAGGGCCCGGAATGGCAGGCCACCCCACGAGGTCTCGGACCACCCAGCTGCTGCCCAGGCTCTGTGAGGAAGGAAGGCCGAGCCCCTCGCCAGGGGAACAGCCGCTGCACAGCACACGGGCTGGTGGGGACTTCCTGGAAGCAGAACCCGCTCGTCCAGAGGAGCCGGGTGACTTCCTGGCACCAGGCCTCTGAGGCCCGGCGGAACCCCACCCCCCGCCTGGCGCCCTCCACGTCCCAAAGCGGCTGTGGCCAGCGGACCCTCCCGGACCCGAGCTCACCCCGCTTGGCGATCATCTGCGGGCAGCCCAGGTTCAGGTCGATGGCATCACAGTGGTCCTGCGCCAGGAGCCCCGCCCGCACAAACACCTCCGGGTCGTTGGCACAGAACTAGAAGAGACGGGTCATCACCGCAAGCCCAAGCCAGGCCCTGGCCCTGGGTCGCGGTCCCAGGGGCTGCCTGGAGGACAGTCTCCTGTCCTAGATGTTTATGGAACAACTCAGGACGCAGCCCCGTGCCCCCTCCCCACAGACCCCTCCCCATTGCAAGGGCAAGCCAGCTCGCTGCCGTGCTGAGAGCAGAGCCACTCCTTCCAGTCATCCTGATAAAGAGGCGGTGCGAGGCGTGGCCACGGGGCCACGGAGCTCCCCCGGCAGCCAAGCTGTCCATTCGCCAGGGCCTGAGCCGGGGCCCAGGAAGAGGTCAAGCTCTGGAAAGGCAGCCGAGGGTGCGCCTGGCTTCCACGCCCCCCACTCGGTCCCCCGCCTCCCAGTCGGGGCCGAGGAAGAGGTGCTCCCAGGTGTCCAGGGGCCAGGCCTGCGCACCTGCACGATGAGGGGCCGGTCCTCGGGGCACACCTCGCAGTACAGGTTCTCCTTCCGGTAGTTGGCATCTCGGACGAAGACCTGGGCGTGCAGCATGGGGGTGTAGCAGAGCTGGGCCCCGTGCCGGCGACTCAGCAGCCTCCATGCCAGCTCGCTCTGGTCCACCATGGGGGCCACCACGTGGCGGGCCCCCCCCAGCGTGCGGCTCCAGAACTCGAAGCCTTGCAGCTTTGGCATCTCTTCACACTGCGGGGGCAGAGCAGGGGCTCAGCCACGCCACGGAGCCATGTGGACGGAGGATCAAACTGTCCCTGAGGCCACACTGCTGCCACCCCTAGATCACAAGCGTGGGCACTAATGGTATCGGTTGGTGGGGCCACAGAATGAAACCCAGCACCGTCAGCCTCCAGCAGGGACCCTGGCAAGTCGTCCAGCCCCTGAGCCCAGACCCCTCCCTTGTTCTGCCCGGTGGGACTGGTACGGAGTACAGGAAACCGTGGAAGCAGCGTCTCAGGGGCACATGGTCACAGCCGGCCCCCACGAAAAGACGCTGTAACTACAAGGCTTGGGGACCCCAAGGCAGGCCCATCCAGTGGGGACACCCCTGGAGATGTGAACCAGGCTGACCCTCCTGCCCAGCGTCCTGCGTGTCAGGTGGGACCTGGCCGTGTCACTAGTGAGCTCCCTGGAGGGAACCACCCTCCTGGCCGGACGGACCCTGGGGACTCGCGCCCAGACAGCTCTTACTCCAGGAGCCTGGGCCCGCGATCGCTGAGCACGACGATCACTTTAATGATCGAGTGCCCATCTGTGCGTTGGGTGTTTTTGGAAACTGAAATTACATATAAAAACCACCTTAATGTCACCGAGGTCCCCAAGCGCGCAGGGCACACGCAGCGCCCGTGAAGGAGGAGCCAGGCAGCGGCAACGCCCGGCGAGACTCCGCGGGAAACGCACCTGAGTCGGCCGAGCCTGGGCGCCCGCCGGCGGAGTCCTCCAGGGCGGCGCGCGGAGCTCCGGACTCGCACAGGGTGCGGGGAGCGCCTCGCCGGGGCCGCCGCCGGGCCGCAGCCGAGCCCAGGGCTCCGCGCCGGAGCTGCCGGAAGGTGCCTCCGCCAGGGCGGTCCGGGCGGCCCGTGGTGCAGCGGGAAACGCGTCCCCGGGAAACTACGCCCGGCCGAAGGGGGGCCCGCCCGCGGCAGAGGGTCCGCACGGGATCGGAGGTCGGCTCGGCCCCGCCGGAGTCCCGCCGGTGCCCGCGGCCCGAGCCGTGGGGGCTTGCTGGCCCCGCCGGGGTCGCTCATGCCGGTGTCTGTGGGGTGGCGCCCGCCGCCTGTGGTGGAACCCGAGCCCGTGTTCCTCCCGGGGCAGAGATCGCGGAAAGCTAGGATCGCGGCAGCTCCAGGCCAGCGTTCGGGGTCCCGTCCCAGACCCGAGCCCCGAGCACGGCCACGCCCCACATGGCCCCGTGGTTCCCTGCTGCCTCAGTCTCCCCCGCGCCTCCTACGCGCAGGTCACGGCCCCGCCGCCGAGCGCTACGCATGCCGACCCCTCCCGGTCGCTGAGCGCGGCGCCGGGACGAGGCTCCGGAGCCGCCGCCGGGGGTGCTGCGGCAGTGTCATCCCGCACTCCCCACCCCCGCCAGGAGGCGGCGCTGCCGCAGCGCCCAGAGAGAGAGCAGACCTGGGACGCGGTGCCAGGTCGCCCGGCCCCGACCGGGGGCCACGTGGTCGCCGCGTCGCTCCCTCGCCTCCCGCGAGGATGGAGCCCAGCCGGGAAGGCCGCGCGCGGACCGCAGGGCACCGGCCCCAGGGCGCCCTCTGCCCAGCGCACGTGTGGACTCTCGGGGGAAGGCCGCGTCACAGCCTTCACTTTTGGGGTTTTTTTAAAAGATTTTATTTAGTTATTATTCTTATTTTTTAATGTTCATTTTTAAAAGATTTTATTTAGTAGAGAGAAACGGAGGGAGGGAGAAAGAGCGGGAGGGAAATCTCAATTGGTTGCCCCTCATCTGCGCCCCAGAACTGAACCTGCAACCCAAGCAGGTCCCTGGGCCCAGAATCCAACCGGCGGCCTGTCGGTTCACGGGAAAATGCTCCAACCCACTGAGCCTCAGCGGCCAGGGCTCCGCCGTGTCATCCCTTTCTCCGTGTTTCAGCGGGGCTACTAGAAGCCGGACGTGCGGGTGTGCCCCGGGCTCCCGGAAGAGGAATGCGGGAGCTGACCAGCGCCCTCCCAAAAGGCGACCCAAAACTGGACAGATTGGTAAAAGGAGGCTTTCCAGGACCCCGGAAGCTGACTAAACACATGCCACATTGGAGACACACGTTTGTTTGTTTGTTTTAGTTATCGAATGTCAGGAAGAAGGAACAAAGTGCAAGTCTGGGCAGTTGCCTGTGGGGCTCCTTGCGTCTCCTCCTGCCGGGCCAGGTCGCTAGAGCACTGAGGCGCTGCCTCGGGGGGCGCGGCCTATGGGGCGGGGGCCTCTGCGGAGACTTTGGCTGCGTGAACTTGGGAGGCGCCCACATGCCACGTGCGGAGCTGCGCACGGAGCTGTCCCGGGCGGCAGGGGCCTCCCGTCCCCCTGTGTTTGCGCAGAACCTCCAGCCCATCACTGGCCTCTGAGCGGCGCCGACCCAGGGCGAGCCTTAGGGAGCCAGACTCACATACTTACACAATTTTAAAAAGCTGGCAAGAGATACCGGCGGCCACGCACTGCAGAGGGGACAGGCACCACAGATTCCTGCAGGCCAGGCACTCAGCAAGCACACGCCAGCTCCAGTAGCCACACCTGGCGAGGGGGGAGGGTTCGGAAGCCGCAGTTTCCACAAGGTATCATCTGCAATGCCCAGCAGGGGTCCTGGCCCTGGCCGGGCCGCTCAGGTGATTAGAGCCTCATGCCGACGCCAAGGTTGTCGGTGTGATGCCCCGTCAGGGCAGGTGCAAGAATCAACCAACGGATGAGTCAAACAACAAGTCGGTGTGTCTCTCTCTTAAAAAACAAAAACAAAAACAGTAATGAATGAAAAATTGAGACATTCAAAGAAACAATAAAGTGTAGACCATATGCAGGGAAAGTGGTTCATAGAAACTGTCCCTGAGGAGGCTGGACTGACCAAGGAATGAAGGAGGAGACAGATAACCCAAACCGTGAAGGAAAACGAGGCATCACCATGGACCGTGGGAAGGTAGAATCAAAAAGGAATACTATGAAAACGATATCCCCCAGAGTAGGCAAGTTAGATGAAATGACAAATTTCTGAAATAGATACAAATTTGAGAAACTGAAGAAAAAACAGAAAATCTGAATACATCCAAATAAGAAATTGAATTAGTTATTAAAAATATTCCCACAAAATGAAGCCCAGGTTCAGAAGACTTTAAATTCTAAGAAATATTGAAGAATGGACACCAATCCTTTACAATCCCTTCAAAAATACAAGAGAGCCCTGGCTGGTGTGGCTCAGTGGATTGAGCGCTGACCTGTGAACCAAAGGGTCACCAGTTTGATTCCCCATCAGGGCGCAGGCCTGGGTTGCGGGCCAGGTCCCCAGTAGGTGGCACACGAGAGGCAACCCCACATGGATGTTTCTCTCCCTCTCTTTCTGCCTCCCTTCCCCTCTCTAAAAATAAATAAATAGACTTCTGGCCAAGGTGGAAGTGTAGGTAAATACACTTTGCTTCCTCGCACAACCAAAAGAAGGACAACAACAAATTTAAAAACAAAAAGTAACCAGAACTACCAGAAAATCAAACTGTATGGAAGTCCGACAACCAAGGAACTGAAGAAGAAACACTCACCCCGACTGGTAGGAGGAGCGGAGACGGGCAGCCGGAGTGGAGAGGGTGTGCGGCAAGGGAGCGACTGGAGGTCCAGGCAGCCGAGGGGGCGGCTGGCGGACCGGGCGCTTCCACATTCACGTGCAGATCAACCGGGAGGCACAGCTCGGGGGCGAGACAGACTTTGCAACCCGGGGCTCCAGCGCAGGAAAAGAAAGCCTCAAAACCTCTGGCTGTAAAACCTGCGGGGGCTACAGCAGCAGCAGAAACTCCCAGGCTCGCAGCAGAGTTCACTGGAGAGGCCCCCCACACACACACACACACGGGAACCAGCACCAGCAGGGCCCAGTTTGCTTGTGAGCAGTGGGGGAAGTGACTGAAAGCTGGCCGAGAGCCGAGCAAGTGACCTGGTTCCCTCTTGGACCCCCTCCCCTACACACAGCGTCACAACGCAGCAACCTGGGCAGCCCCTGCCCTGGCGAACACCTAAGGCTCGGCCGCTTCCAATGTAAAGGAGGGCTGAGACAAAGGAACATGGCCCAAATGAAAGGACAGATCAAAGCTCAAAAAATAGAACTAAGCGATGAAGAGATAGCCAACCTATCAGATACACAGTTCGAAACACTGGCGATCAGGATGCTCACAGAAATGGTTGAGTGTGGTCGCAAAATGGAGGAAAACGTGACAGTTATGCAAAGTGAATCAAAGAAAAATATACAGGGAACCAACAGTAAAGGGAAGGAAACCAGGATTCAAACCAACGATTGGGAGCAGGAGGAAGATATAAACGTTCAACCAGGACAGAATGAAGAAACAAGAATTCAAAGAAATGAGGAGAGGCTTAGGAACCCCTGGGACAACTTTAAACGTTCCAACATCCGAATCATAGGGGAGCCAGAAGGGGAAGAAGAGGAGCAAGAAATTGAAAACTTATTTGAACAAGTAATGAAGGAGAACTTCCCCAATCTGGCCAAGGAAAGAGACTGGCAGGAGATCCAGGAAACTCAGAGAGTCCCAAAGAAGTTGGACCCAAGGAAGCACACACGAAGGCACATCATCATTAAGTTACCCAAGATCAAAGATAAGGTGAGAACCTTAAAAGCAGCAAGAAGAAAGGAGACAGTTACCTACAAAGGAGTTCCCATAATATTATTAGCTGATTTCTCAAAAGAAACCTTACAGACAAGATGTTTGGAAAGAAGTATTCAAAGTGATGAAAGACAAGGACCTACATCCAGGATGACTCTATCCAGCGAAGCCGTCATTTAGAATGGATGGAAGGGCAGATAAAGTGCTTCCCAGAGAAGGTCAAGTTAAAGGAGTTCATCACCACCAAGCCCTTATTATAAGAAATGTTAAAGGGACTGACCCAAGAAAAAGAAGATCAAAAACTATGAACAGTAAAATGACAACACACCCACAACTGTCAGCAACTGAACCTAAAACAGAAATAAAAACAAAAACCAACAAAGCCAACAATTAGAACAGGAACAGAATCACATAACTGGAGATCGGGGGAGGGCAGAACGGGGGAAAAGGTGCGGGGAACAAGCAGCATAACTGGTCGGGACACAAGAGGCCGGGAGGTTAAGAACAGCATAGGAAACGGAGAAGGCAAAGAACTTGTGTGCACGACCCGTGGGCACGAACGAAGCGGGGCCAGGGGGCGGGGGAGGGGGGCCGGGAATGCTGGGGGGAGGGGAGCAGAGGGGAGAAAAAACGGTACAACTGTAATACCATAATCAATAAAACATGGATTAAAAACTGAAGAAAGAGGCAAACCATGACCGTGGGCGCAAGGGCCCGTTCTCTCCAGAACCGCTGACAAACAGGCGCGACGCAGGGCAGTCGCTCGCGGCGGCCGGTGCGGAGGTGAGAGCAGATGGTGACTCGCACCTGGGGAGAAGGGGTGGGAGCCGAACGGGGCGCGGGGTCCTGCAGCCCGCGCTTTGGCTTGTGCAGCGAGGGCCCCTCCTTGGTTCCTGCCGAGGGGACAAGATGGCCTCACGAGTGCACACATCCCTGCAAACACACAGCCGCCCCCCACTGGCTCGAGAGCAAACAAAGCCCAGACAGACCCGTGGCCGGTGGAGGCGCTGGACGAGGCAGGGCATCGCAGGGAGACCGGCCGTCGGGCAGTGCCGCCCTCCGCGCTCGCAGGAGATCACGCTGAGCGACGAAAGCCAGCCTCGGGGGTAAGTGTGTTTCCACCTGTCAATGGGCTTGGGGTCCCGTGATCGCGGCGGCGGGGGGGGGGGGGCGGGAGGGCGCGTGGAGCCTCACGGTGCGCGGCGATTCTGTGCTGGCGGTGGCGGTGGTTGTGCTGATCCT